TTCAAGTCATCATCCGAGCAGGTTTCCATTGCTGTCCAGCCTTATGGACTCCATAAATCAGATGGGATCTTATCGTTCCATCCTTCCGGGCTGCCGCTGGCCGTGGAGGCGCAATCGTGATGCGTGTGGAGCACCGGCGATCCATCATGTTGTACCGTGCTGTCTTGTCTCGATGGTGTGGCCGAGATCCCCAGTCGCGAGTACGGAACTTCACCAGTTTGTCCGCCTGGATAAAGAGCGGTTTGTTGCTAGCACACGGACTCTCTATCAACTGTCAAGGCACACGCACAGCGCACATACCACAGCTCTTTCGGTGGGGCCTTGGGAGACAGGCGCTAGGCACAGGGTTCTGGGTCTTGCAAACCAGAGCCCGTCCCTCTTTTTGATCCTCCCTAAAAAAACACGCAATATCAATCCGAAAGCTACACGTCCGCCAGACCGCCAATCATCCTCACATGCAAGGTGGTCACTAGACCAGTCTTGTTTTTTTAACCTTGAACCGGGGTGGGTGATGTGCAACATAACATGGTACATGGCAGCACACTTGTCCGCAGGCAGAGCGGTAAGTGATGGGCGGCGGCGGCCCCAGCCTTGGGCCATGATCGCGTCTAATTTTCCTTGCGACGCGCATTTGCCCGCCGCTTTTCCTCTTTCCCTTTTGTGCCCGCTTCCTGTCCTGTCCCCTCTTCCTCCTCCTTATCCACCACCCACACCCCCTTGTCGATTTTGCGCTGCAGAGCGGGTCGGTCCCCTTCGCGCGCCACAGGTTGGCCAGGGTGAGGGCAACCCACAGGGCCCCGCCATTGTCACGACTTGTGGGGACCGAAAGAAACAGGAAGTCGACAGGGACCTATCTCGAGGGAGGGGGGTAGTAACGTCCTCTTTCACTATTGCAACTTTGTCCCGCAAATATTTCGCCTTCTGGGGACATGACCTTATCTGGGGTGGGGGGAACCCGACTAAGAGATATTGAGGGGGAATGGAGGAGGACAGGATGATTCTCGATCCCGTCGCCAGAGATTGGGGATAGGAGCGCGTCAGGGCGCAATTGGTGGTGTGCCAAATATACTACCCAATGACAGCACCATCGACGTATCCAGCCCGCATTGATTGCATGGCCAGAGAGCGGCAGCAGAAACGGCCCAAAGGGAAAGGGGAAAGCAGCGCTGCGCAGAATACTGGACACCTCGTGATCTCAATGCTTTGCTGTCCGCGCTTTTGGCCTGTTTGCAAAGCCTCATGCTGCCGCCGTCTTCTGAAATCCTGGAATGGGTGGGTGGAAGATAGCATGGGTCGCAGCAAAATACAAAATACTGCTGCTGGTCCAAGGTTTTATTGTTGATGATGTTTTCAGGTGCGACGGCTGCTCGCTCGTCCCACACCGCCACTCGGTCTGTGCCTGAGTTGGGTTCTGCTGTTGTTTTCTTCCTGTCTTTTTATTTCGATTTTTCTTTTTCTTGTTCTCACTGTCCTGTGTCAAGATGTCATGTTCCTCTCTCTCTACAATCCTGTGACCTCCTCTATGTGGCTGTTGCCTGACTGTTGTTTCTGCCAGGAGCGTTGACCCAATGCCAGCGCCCACAGCACACAGAGACAGCCTCAAAAGAGGGTGCGGAGGCTGCTGCCCTGTCGGTTGATCAGTCAGTCTGCTTGTCAGTTGTCTCTTTTTCGGTACATGCGTGGTGGAGCCGGACGGGTGTGGTGTGTGAGTGTAAAGTGCGAGTGTCGTGTGTGTGTGTGTGTGTGTGTGTGTGTGTATGCGCGCTCGCGGATATGTGTGCGGGTGTCTGTGAGTGGTGGGTGCTTTCCGCCTCTCCTTCTCGCTCCCCCTGTCTTTCCGTTCATCTGTGTTATGTCAAGCGTCAGCGAGCATGTGTGTCTTTCTTCTCCTTTCTTTTCACCATTCCTATCTGATAAAATACAAGATACGAGCGGGAAAAGCAACAACAACAATAACAATAACACTTGTAGTCGCCTCCCCCCCCTCTCCCGGAACATTTTACCTTGCTTGCCTGCCCTGGGCGTGCGTGGGCAAACAACAACACCCTCTCTTTGGGAGGTGGTCCTCTCTCCAAAGTGGGCGTGGGTGTGGGTGACAGCACAGGGATGGCGGCCGCAACGTCGCGCTGTGCTGTAGCGGTACAAGGAGCCTTTGTACCGCTACCTCTTCCACGTCCCCTCCCCTAGACCCTGGTCGGCAGGGGTCAGAGGGCGTGGCAGGGGTGCGTCGCCCAATCGAGACTCTTTGCTGCTGTGCATTTGCATATGTACCGAGAGGTACCGACCGCTATGCAAAGAACATGAATTGATCGCTTTTTTTTTTCTTTCTTTCTTTCTGCCCCAGCACCCCCTGCCGTTATTCGCCATCAGTCGCGCGCAGGTGCGTGGGTGCTTGCTGGATGGGCTGGCTGGCTTGCAAAAAAAAAGAAAGCTGGCTGGACAGGGTCGGTCCGCCTCTTTTTTTTCCTAGCATCACGAAGCCTCTTCCTCAATGGGCGCATCGTTAACGATAAAACAGCGCGGTGTGTGACTACAGCTTCCAGGGTGCCAGCAATAGTAATCATCAGCTGGGAATAGCTTTATTCGTCGCACCGTCCAGGCGCCCAGGCGTCCAGGCTGAGCAGCCGCCAGCCTTCCTCCACCCCACCGATGAGAGGCGCGGAGCGACCTGGCTTGGCTCCGCAGGCACCATGGCTATTCGTTGCCTTATTTTCTCACTCTTCTTTTTCCTTTGGGCAACAAAAGCTGCTCTGTCATACCTGGTAGACGTGGGAAGGCAGTGTCCACGTTGAAAGTACAGCCATAGACGGTTATATGTTTCTCCCGGGCGCGGAGAATACGTGCCGCTCTTTTTCGACCCACGATCCTCGGGTTGGACCGAGTTTGGTCCAGTCGCTTTGACTAGCGCCCGGGCCCTGGCTACTTGTGCTTGTCTCTCTCTCTCTCTCTCTCCCTCTCGCTCCCTTCCAGGGCGCTCTCCGTGGCTGTCTCCCAGTTCCATCCCCATCTTTCGCCCTTTCGCTTGCCCGCCGTTGTCGCTTGACCGGGCTGCGGCGATCAGACACGCTCCAGCTGCAGTTCTTCTGCGAACGGTGACGCCAAGTGCTGTGACAAGGGTTTTTTTTGGTTGGTTTTTTTTTTTAGCACGCGAGGGGCTGTCTATCGCCCAGATGCTTTTCATTCACTCATGGTGGCTGCACTGCATCCCATCTCTGTGATCCTTCACGATTGCCCCAATCCGTGATCGTTTGCGTCGTGTGTACCACCTGCCTGGTGGCTCTGCCTCACATCTTTCCTCCTCTTTTTCCTTCTCCCGCCATCCAGGGTTGTGTCCCGCTTTGACACCTGCAGCGTTCCACTGACGCTACGACCACCAGACAGGCCGGTTGAATGTGGACTGCTGGTGATACCCAGGGGAACCCTGGTCTTTGGGTCCTCCGACGCCTCTCTCTTCCCCCCCCCCCCCCCCCCCGTCGATCCGGGACTGATGGGAAAGAATGGCATGGAGATCCGGCCAGCGCCTGATCTCCCGCCCTGAATATGGCAACACCCAACATGGTCGCATCGTCGGCGCCGGCTAATACCTGAGGCGCGGCGGCGCCTGTCGTGTGGCGCCAGAGTCGGGTCGGACCATGGCCGCCGGCAACCACCGCCCTAAAAGAGTGTGATGTGTTGGCACGTAGCCACCCCCAGGACTGTACCTGACCTTGCCTGCAACCTCCCGAGCCTCGCGACCATACCGCTGGGTGCTCCAGAGTTCCCGTGGATAGGACCTCTCACTTTCCCACAGCAGCATGGGCGTGCAAGTGACGATTTCGTTCCAAAACCCAACGACGTTCCAGGGGTGGTTATGGGGTGACATTATCATCAACACGTGTGTCCTGCACCGTCTCCCCCCGTCCTCTTCCCGTGGGTTGAGGGAGGATGGGACAGAGCAGGCTAAATTTGCACGTAACAAGGCGGCGGCAACCAAGACAATGTTTTAACCTTCTCCTGTCTCCCTTCCTGAGACACGGCCAACGCGGCCCCGGCTGTGTCGCTTGTTTTTCTTCTCTCTCTCTCTCCTTTTTCTTTCCTGGTTCTTTATCCCCTTGAAGCTGGCGTCGGACTTGATCAAGCCCACGCTGCGACGATTGTAATGGCGATGGCGACGGCGATGACGACCAGAGACCCCCCCTGCTTGTCTTACACTGTACCTTGTACATGTATCCCTCGTGGTGAATTTACGTGCAGCCTCCTGGATCTCTGGTGTTTTCGCGTTTCTTGTGGTCGTTCGCCGGACTGACAAGCGAACAGGGGACCAGGCGGAGAGCAATTAGCCTTCCTGTCGATAAGCGTTGTCGCGGTCGCTGCGCGTCTCTTCCCTTGCGAATGTTAGTGGGCGGTACCAGCCTGCCTGCATTTTCTTTTCTCTTTTCTTTTCTTTTCTTTTATTTTTTTTTTATTTCTTCTGCATGCGTCCGTGGGCGTAGACCCCCCCCCCCCCCCTGTCGAGATAGCGTCCCAGATCCTGATCCATGCCAAAAGCAGGGAATCTCCAGCCAGCCAGGGAGTGCCGGGTGGTGCTAGGGTCAGTTCAGCATGGACAGCAAGTGGGCGGGCGACTCGACGTCGATCGACTTCCATCCCTCGGCACGTCCCTTGACAGACAACCTGTGCCAACCACGCAATCGTCGAAATTACAACTTCGGCGCTCAGGGCGCAACGGTCACATCTCCGAGGGACTGTGGTTGTGGTGCCCCTCGGCTCTTTCGTTTATCGGGCAGTCGTGTCTGCGCATACCTCACAGCTGTCTCGGCATCAATATTCATCATCTCAGTGCCAGCCCGCCCTGGATCAGGCAAGGTGGTGTGGGGGCCCCGTCGTCCGGTTAGCAGGAAGTTTGTGTTGCGCAATCCAGCCTCCTCCCAAAAAGTCACAAGGGCAAATTGATGTAAATGATGTTTACATCACGTCGATGAAATGGCAAAATGTCTTGTCGCCACTGGGCGTGGGAGTCATGGGGGAGAAAAAAAAGCAAAAAAAAAAAGAAAAAAAAAAGCCGCCTCGGTGTGCGAGTGCGTGTGTGTGCCATCTGCCCAAGAGTCCAAGCTTGCACTGTGGCAGAAGGAGGAGCGCAGGAAGAATTTGGGGGTGAGCAAAACGAGGCACTGCCCACCTCGCAAGCCTCGCCGGCCCCATCGTGGCACATCGACCCGGTTGGTGCCCCACCGAACATGTCCCGCTTGTCATTTGTCGGTTATTGGGTGCCAGGGATTGAGTATCTGCGCCTGTCGCAGACAGCTAGGGCTGCGACGGAATACTCGACACTTTTTCCTGCAACAGCTTTCGGATGCCATTTTGGAGGAGCGATTTTGCTACTGCGTATTGTCCCGTCCGTGATAGTGGTGCTCTACTGCACAGTGGTATGCCTACCCAGCTTCCTGCTTCTGGTCGTCGCCAAGGCCGACGGGCGGGAGATATTCGAAAAGCAAAGAGATACAAACTGGGGCGCTCGACGGTTCCTTGTCGTCGCTTCGCTGGGCGGGCGGGCGGCTTTTCACCACAGGGGAGACATGCAGAGGTGGGCGCGGCACCCACACCCACCACTCACACCGACCCGAATCGGGGAAAGCACGCAAGTCGAGTAGAGCAAAAAGTCGACTTGGGGCGGCTCCATCCCTGTCAACCGGCACTAGCAAGGCACATTGTCCGCACATAATTTGGAAGGCTCCCGCCATCCCCTGTCCCACCCCCAAGCCTTTCCCTGTTTTGGGAACCCGTAGTGCCCGTCCTCCTCTGTTCTCTTCCCTCGATCCTTCGTGCGGCGGCAGGCAAAGATCTATTTGATTATCTGCCCTCTATCTGCCCTGCCCCTCTTCCCATGAACACGTATAGTGCATCCCACCAAGCACCAGGCCGCGAGGCCAGCAACCTAGAAGATCAAGACCAGACGTGAGAGAGATAGGTAAATGAGCGTGCAAAGGGGAACGAACAAACGAATGAACGAACGAACGCCTAGATAGTGTTTGGTTTGAGGGTCCTTCTGGTGGCGCCAGGGTCCAAGTGTTTCCGCATCAGCGCGCCCGCCAATAAACACCAATGGTCTTTTCTCCCGAAACCAAACGGGCTGTTTATGGACGGGTGCTGGGATGGGCCCTGGCAAAAAGGTAGCGTGCGCTTGTTGTTCCTGCCCGCCCAGGCCCCCTCGCGGTTGCTCTTTTTTTTTTCCTACTGCTGTTGCGCGCGCCGTGATCGTCCATCCACCCAGAAATGTTTCCCTTTCTAGCGTCCTGGCATCTTGCCTGAACCGCCGGAGTGCCCTCGTTTCAAGTGGCCTGTGACCTCGGCCGGCCCACGATTAGACGGGGACGCCTTGCGTTGCAGCACCGATTGCCCTTGCTTTCGGCGTCATTCCGTATCGTCTACAGATTTCCTCCGTTCTCTCCAAGACAAAATAAGACCGAGGGGGAGGTAGAGATAAGTCGATGGGATGGGAGCATATCGGGCTAGATAAAAAAAGAAGGGAGTGGAAAACTGTTGGTTAGCACAACGCCACCACTGACGGTCGCCATATCGGTGTGCGCCTCCGTGAACAGCCAAGGGATGGGGGCTTGTCCTGGCTAGACAATACTCCTAATAAAGAAACTCGAGAAAAAAAGGAGAGAAAATCAATGCCCATCTCCTGGACATTCCCCTTGGCGAGTGAGTCCGCACTGGCTCAACTCGGCTCATCAGTCGCTGCTATCCAGGTGGAAAATGTTCAAATAAGTTCCTTTGACAAGCTCACGATTTAACGCCACGGTCATGATTATATTGGAGGAAGGGGATATGCAGGTAGTCATGCACCTGCCGTTTCCCTCCCTACCTGGGTATCTAGGTACCTAGGTACACATGATGTCGATGAACACCCTCATCTGGGGAGGGCGCGATCAGACAGTGGCGTTGTGCCCCTTACGTTACCCTTGCTCCACCCTTGAACTCACTAGCCTTTGGAAGACGCGTTGAGCAGAGGTTAAGTGCAACACAAGGTTCCAGGAAGAAGAGTCCGTCGAAGGGGAAGCAGGTAAAAAAAAAAAGAAAGGAAACGGGAGAAACGGGAGGAGTTTTGGCAACGGCGATTTTTAGATCGTGAATGCCACGCCACATGTGCTAATTCTGCGCCCGGTCTATTTAGCATCTAGACCAAGGTGCACACCCCTTGTTTTTTCTCGTGCCCTTTACCACATGCTCCGACCGGACTCTTGCATCGTGCAGGTAGTTTCTTTTTGAGGGCTATCTATGCCCAAGACACGATGCACAGAACCGCGAATTACAACTTTTCGGACCGCTTCTCAACCGCGTCCCGCAGGACCTTGATGACATCGCTTGGGTCCTTGGCGCCGAAGACGGCGCTGCCGGCCACAATGACGTTGGCGCCCGCGTCGGCGGCCTGGTCGATGGTTCCGGGCCCCAGGCCACCGTCGACCTCAATGTTGAGCTCCGGGTAGCGCTCGCGCAGGGCTTGGACCTTGGGCAGCTCGCTGGCCATGAACTTCTGGCCACCGAAGCCCGGCTCGACCGTCATGATGAGGACCATGTCGGGCCGCTCCTTGTCCAGGGAACAGTCGAGTATCTCATACAGCACGTCAACGGGTGTGGCCGGCTTCAGCGCGATGCCGGCCAGCAGCCCCTGGTCGTGGATGTAGCGAATCAGCTCGCGCGGGCTCGTCTTTAGCTCCGACTCCTCGGTGGGCGCCTCGGCGGCGGAGCTGAAGGCGGCCTCGTAGTGGAAGCAGTACAGGTCGCAACCGGCCGCCTTGAACTCCTTGACCCATTTCTTGGGCTCCGCGATCATCATGTGGCAGTCGAAGGTGCCCCGGCCCTGGGGGGCTGAGGGCTGATCAACGTGCCGCCGGATCTTGGCTACCACTGGGGGTCCGAATGTTATGTTGGGCACAAAGTGGCCGTCCCTGTGCGTTGTCTTGCGCGGTTAATGTGCCATCAAAACCCATCACCCTCCCCAAGCGCCAGGACGATGCAGGTCCAGGCGGGGCTGCTCTCGCCATTCTCGCTCTCCGTCCGTCTCGAGGCCTACCTACATGATGTCTACATGGAGCCAATCGGCCCCCTGGCTGATGGTCCTGGAGCATTCCTCGCCCAGGTTGCCAAAGTCAGCCGACAGGATGGAGGGTGCGATGATGGCCTTGGGTGCCATGATTGCTGCTGCTGTTGCTGTTGCTGTTGCGGCTGCTGTTTTGGCTCGGGGCGAAGTGGGGGTTTGGCGAGGATCGAGATGGCAGCACGGACGGCGGAACGGGATCCTGAGGAAGGGGGTGGAGGCCAAAGGATGCCGCCGCTTGCAGATGGTAAGAATCCAGTGGCGTCAATGTAATCTGGGCTACTGTCGACCTAAGCAACGGCCAAGGGCAAAACCGGCGATGGATTCGATGTCAAAGTTTGAGCGTTGGGTGCTACCAAACGGCTGTCTTGCCGTGTCTACGTACGTTGTCGATGGTGGGGGTGCCCTTGAAATCCTTCCCAAAAAGCCTCAAGCTCAATCGAGGCCGACCGACCATGACGCTGCCGCGAACACGCACGCGCCCACTCGGTCCAGCGAAATGGGTGGTACCACGCACCTCACCTCCCCCAAGAAGCGGTGTTGGGCAGACGGATGCCTCCACTGCCTAACGCTAACGGTGGTGCGTACTGGTGGGTACATATCTCTACCTGCCTACCGTCCAGAGTCGAGGTGCCAGGTTTAGGTTGCCACCAGTCCCCCGACAGCTTGTGGGGCCCGACTGGGCGACAGGGGAGGCTGGCCCACGCCTGGGACTTCGGTACTTGGGCCGATGTACCTGAGGTACCTCCCCGGCGCCCAAGAAGGGTGGCCTGCAGGTCTTGCCTGGTGCCGCTCACCCCATTCCCTGCGGTGGATTCTGGTTCCCCAGCCCAGCCCAGTCATCCCATGCCCTCGTCAGTTTCTTCTCTACCTACCTGCCGGCCTGCCTCACCCTCCCCTTGCCTTGTCTGCCTCCAACACCTCACAACCGCCGACGAGCAAACACGCTCGCTGCTGCGAATCCCTTCGCTGCCACCATCACCGAGCCTGCGTGCTGCCGCCTCTTTGGCCACCCGCCCGTGCCATCTCCTGCCCGCCGACCAGACCCGTTTTTATTATATTTTATTATATTTTTCTTTATCTTGCCTATTCTCTCGACTCTCCCAGGTTACTTTTTGGACCGCCACCCAGCCGCCCGTCCGTCGCTCAAACTCTAAACGCCAGAGTCCAGTTCCGTCCCCTCCCGTCCTCCGCTCTGCTTCGTCCCAGGCTCGAAAAAAAGTCCTTCTCTTCCCCCGTCGCCCATCTCCCGGATTGGCGTCCGTCTTGTCTCTCGTCGGAAGCGCAGCGTCGTCTCCCGTTCCGCTCGCATTCCGCTCTCGCTCACGAGCCGGCCACCCGCGCTCTTGAATCCTGTCACGCTCCTCACCCACCACCCTCACCCTCTGTCGCGCTGTCTCGTCGCCCGGGGAAAAGAGGAAAGACAATCACGCAAGGAGAAGGAGACGAGAGGAGGAGCCAGAATCGGCCCGACGCAGGCACAAGCTGCCATTTCGAGAACTCCTGTGGACGAGACTGGGATCTGGTCGAGCCCAGGTGGAACCGACAATACCCTTTGTCGCACGCGAGACCCGCTCCATATGGACGCCGGTGGTCTGCACTAGGCAGCCTGCAGCCCGTTGCCGGCTTCCTGCCTCGTTGCGCAAAAGCCCGGCCGGCCAAGTCACTGTGACCGCCGCATCGTCTCTGCGTCGACTCCCGCGCTCTCTGCCAGCACGAACCGAACCCCCGGTTTCGCGTCACGCCGTCCTCCTCCCTCCCGGCCGAACCATTATCTCCGTGCTTCCGCGTGTCGCCACCCTTTCCAGAGTAGGGCTTGTTCCCTATAAACGCCCGCGGCCATGGCCGCGAACATGCCGCCCAATATGGCTGGCATGATGCCGCAGCGCCGCCCGCAGATGCCCCAGCAGGGCCAGTTGAGCCAGGTTGTGTATTCCGCTCTCATCGAGCAACCCCAGATCCAACATGGTTGGCAGGCCGGTGTTCAGATTGCAGATCGCCTCGGCAAGGTCACCACACTGTAAGTTGTCACCCGTCGCTGCTCGCCTCAAACGACGTGCTGTCTGCTTGATTGACCTTATAGGTTGCCTTGACTTGTCTCGTGCACACCACCGCGTCGACTGCGCGCTGACCACTCTCATCCCCCCATAGCGTCAGCAACGCCATATTGGCAAATCCAGGCGTGGATGGAACCAAGGCCGCGCAATTTGGAATCAACTTTGAGAAGAAGTTGTTCCATGAAATGCCAGACAAGGTGGGTGCATAAGAAGAAAGGAAATCCCCGACCTCTGTCCCCTATCCTAACCGCGCGTGTTTATTTGGTTTAGGCCTCTTACGACAGACAAATGACCGCCAAGGTCACCGAGATGTTCACACAACGGCAATCAAACGAGGTCAACATCCAGAATTCGATAAACAGCCATGCCGCTCTCCTGCAACAGCAGGCGCAACAGCAGCAGCATCAGCAACAACAGCGTATTATGCAAATGAACCAAAACGCCCTCCAGGCCCAGGCCCAGGCCCAGGCCCAGGCTCAGGCCCAAGCACAGGCCCAGATGAACATGGGCCAGAACCCTCAGCATCCCTTCCAGCACCTGCAGCGCCCGATGCAGGCCTCCCCGATCCCCGGCCAGCCTGGCCAGCCGATGCCGATAGGAATGACCGCCATGGGCGGTCCGAACCGCATGCCCATCAGGCCTCCCGGGCAGGAGCAGGGGAACGTGCCCGGCATATCGATGCAGGACAAGGCGAAGATCTTGGAGCTCGCCACAAAGATGATGGCTCAGACCCCGGATGCGGCAAAACAGCAGCTCAGGATAAACTTGCAGTCCAAGATGGATCCTCAACAGCTGCAGAGCATGCGGGTGCGAGGATTGGACCCTCTATTGCAGTACTTCCAACACCAGGCGCTCGCCCAGCTGCAAAGACAGGCGGCCGCAGCTAGGAGACCGATGCCCCAGAATCCCAACGCCCCGCCGGGAGCAATGCACCAACTCCAGCAGCAACGCCCGATGAACCCTGGCGTGATGGGTCAAATGGGTGCGCAGATCAGCCAGTTCAACATGGACAGCATCATCGGCGAGCAGAACAAGGGCTTACTGGCCCAAGAACAGGGGCAAACCGTTGTCCCTGCCAGCATGCCCCCGAACCGGACTCCCCAACCCGGCATGAACTTGGGGGCACAGGGCATGCCAGGCTCGCAGCCAGGCCAGCCCCAGCGACAAGGGCAGATGCAGCAGCCCTTTGGTGTGCAGCAGCAGCAAACGCCGCAGATGAGGGCCGCCCAGGCCCAGGCTCAAGGGAACAAGCCACTACAGGGCCAGCCGGGCGGGCTTAGCGGGCCGCCACCTGCAACCCAAAGCCCGGCCATGAATACGCTCAACTCGGGCACCCCGATCCGCCCCCCTGGATCGGCTGGCCAGATGAACGGCCCAACCATGGCGGGCATGGATCCGCGCTTTAATCCTGCGAACCACCGAACCGCTATATCCGTGGGCGGCAATGTCAACAGTATCAACCAAATGCTGCAGGCGATGGAACCCGCAGACAGAGCACAGTTCAAGGGTCTCAGCCACGAACAGATCACTGAGCTGATGGCTCGATGGCAGGAGTCGCAGCAACAAGCAAAGAACATGGGTGCGGTAATGGGTGTGCGACCCGGCCAACCCCAGCCTAGCCACCAGATCATGGCGAACTTGGGCGAGGGTGGCCCCATGGCACGCCAACAGGCCCTTTTTCAACAGCAGCAACAACAAAGGCCCCAAATGCAAACACAGAGCACCCACCAGGCATCCATGGACAGCATGGATATCCCTCCACAAGTGGCTCAGTTGCTTGGTCATGTCCCCCCTCCTGACGTCAAAAAATGGCACCAGCTTAAGATGTGGATTTCCCAGCATGGCGTGTCTCCACAGATCGATGCTACCCTGAATCGTCTGCAACTAGCCCAATTCACGAGCCTCTTGAGGAAGCAGCAATTTCAGCACCAACAGGCTCAGGCTCAGCAAGCGCAGCAACAGCAGCAACAAGAAGCGCAACAGCAGGCACAACAGCAAGCACAGCAGCAAGCGCAACAACAAGCACAACAGCAAGCACATCAACAGGCGCAGCAGCAGCAAAGAGAACAGCAGCAGCAGAGAGAGCAGCAGCAACAAAGGGAGCAACAACAACAGAGGGAGCAAGCGCAACAGCAAGCGCAGCAGCAGCAACAGCAGCAGCAGCAGCAGCAGCCACAGCAGGCGGGGCCGCCTCCTCAACCAACACCCCCCCAGCAAACGCAGTCTCAGCCCAACATGAGCCACCCTCAGTCGCAACACCCCCAGATTCCAGGTCAGGGCCCCGGAGGTCTCAGCGGAAGGCAGATCCCAGGATTATCACCAAATTTCCTGGCCAACATCCCGCCTCACATAATACAGCCGACCCAGGATGAAATCAACACCCTTCGCAACCACCCGAAGATGGCTGGGGCGCCACTCGAGGCCATCGTGAATCTCGCTAGGCAGGTTAAGATCCGCGATTACGTGAAGAAGATGCAGGCACAACAGGCCCTCAGGGCATCAACCCAACAACAGCCAGGGCAGGGACAGCAGGGGCCCCCGCCCGCAGCTGATGGGCAGACATCCATCCAGACTGGCCAAAACCAGTCACCCGCGCAGAGACCAGCCGTTCCTACCTCAGCGGCGGTTCCAGCGCCTGCCTCGGACAAAAAGCCCGCGGTGTCGGCAGTACCACCCGTCGGTAATAGGAACAACATGCCGAGCCGTGCACCAGCCCCAGGCCCATCTCCTGCACAGACACAACCAAGGAACCTCAAGCGTCCTAGCCCGGACGAGCCGACAGAGGCCGCTCCTCAGCACCAGACTATCACAACCCAGCAAAGGGCTCAGAATCCCAATCAGCCAGCTCAACGTCCGCTCGGTGCGAATCTGCCTTTCCTCACGCCGGACCAGATAGCGCGCCTCGCCCCCGAACACAAAGCGAAGTACGAGGCCATGATGAAGAAGAATGCCGCCCAGCCGGAGCAGCCCATAACGCAAGAGCAGTATAACCGCCTGAGAACCATTATGGGGACAGAAATGGCACGAAACGAGCAATTCCCGGAAATCCCCATGTCGAATGCGGAGAAGGCCGAAATGGCACGCAAGTTCAAGAGCGTGGTGGACTTTTTCACGAAGATGAATAGGAGCATTGCGCGTTGGTACTCTATCACGGAAGACGACGCCCGCGCCCGAATGTACTTCAGGACGGTAAGTGTTGTCGTGTGACCTCTGGCGTTATTTGATCGAGGTACCATTTGCTAACCTAGGACACGAAAACAGAGATGTCGCATTGCCAGCCAGTTTGCGGACGGTGATCGCTTCACCCGCCTCAACCAGTCCTTTTCTATGAACATTGGTGACCTCGACCAGGCGCTGGAAATGATCAACAACATGATCAAGGACATTGGTAACTGGTATAAGGAACGAGGAGAGGCTGGCAAGCCGCCGGGTAACCAGCAGCAGCCCCAGGCAGCACAACCCGCGCCTCTGAGCGCGGCCAATCTCTTGGAAAACACCAAGGCACACACGCAAATGCACCAGCGATCAAACAGCAAGGGCGGACAGGCACCGGCGGCCCCAACGTCTAGCCAACAGCCCTTCTTTGGCGCGAGCTCCCCACACGGACAGCCGGCGTACCTTAACAAGCCCACAGTCACGATCGACTCGCTGAACCCTCCTCCTCCCAAGAGGAAGAAGGTCAACCCTCAGCAAGCTTCGTCACCCGCGGTTCAGTCCAGCACCGCCTCACCGCAGACCAAGCCGCCATCGCCTGAGATTAGGAGACAAGCACAGCCGGAGCCCCCGAAGCCACCACAGACGCCCATGATCTCGTGCAGCGAACCGGGCTGCGAAATGAGCTCGGTGGGATTTGCTACTGAGGAGGCGAGGAACTTGCATATCCAAGAGGAGCACGTGCGACCCAACGAGGACCCTCTCAAGTTTTTCCAAGAGAGCATAGCCGCAAGCCTGGGTTTGGACCCCCAAGGGCACGCCAAGAACGCCCCGACCAATGGCCCGGCTCAGCCCTCGGCTCCGCCCATGGCCATGACGTTGTCAAGGCAGGGGCAACCAGGCGGAAGGCTGGACTCGACAACGGCGACGCCCATGTCGAGGGCCGCGTCGATGAACCGACAAGGGAGTGCGGCCGGGCCGGGCCCTATGGGCAATGTTCAGGGCGCCATGGGCGCAGGCACTCCGCGAACGACCGACGCCAATATCGGGGACGGTCTGCCGTTTGGAGACGACGCGTGGGCCGGGGCCAATGTCGACCCACAGGATCTTCTCTCGGCCTTCGGCTCTCTCGACTCGTCGGGAGGCGGCGTGATTTCGGACCCGAGCCTGTACCGGGCGCTGACACCCAATGACACGCCCGAGAGTAAGGACAGCGGCTCCTCTGAACCCAATAGCGACATCTCGGAGGGCGCCAACTTGGACATCGACGTCAACTGGGCTCCCGTGGATCAGGACTTCCTCGTGGACATGAACAACATCACGATGGACACTATGGACAGCATGGACCCTGCGTTGGCAGCGATGCCGGCCTGGGAAGATGTGTCGAGCGACTTTAACAAGCCGTTCAACTTCGACACTACCGGCCTCTACATGTTGGATACGAACTAGGTCTTGGGACTGTGGTCCCACGGTGTACGCGGCTCGAGATGAAATACCCGGACTTTTTGGTTATGGATTTCTTGTTGGTTGGCTAGCAACGGCGTTGACGGGGACGGGCAGCGGACGGTATGAAAAATAATAGCGGACACCACGCACGGGATGGAGCACTCGGCGGATCGTTGGGCAAATACTGGTTTACCCCTATACTTCTGATTACTTTTTCTTGCCCTTTTCCTACTTGGCCCTCGGTGGAGGTCTGTTTTCAGACCCGTGACATATTTCCTCCTCCTTCACTCGCCCTGGCTTTCTTTCCCTTTGCGTTTATATCGTCGACTTTGCATATTGTATCGGTGGGATTGGGATACCTTGAGCCCCGTGCATAGCGGAGTTGTGGTTTCTTTCTCTGCTATTCCTGTTCTATGCTTTTTCTTTTTTGTTTTTGTTTTTGTTTTTTTGCACCCGGCGTTTTTGTTGGCTACTTCATTCTTTCTTGGCTTTTGGACCCTGGATTTGGGTTGTCTTTTCTAGTTGGCTTGGTTAGCCCCGGTGGGACATGCTCTCACCGGCTTTGGTTTTCGCCCGTCTCGTTTTTACTTTTTCTTATTTGTTGCTTCGCGCCCTTGGAGGAGAAGGCCAGGAATGGGCGGTCGACGGGGTCGGCAGCATCATGACCAGGTTCTTTGGGGAGCCATGCAAATATGCAGGCTGGAGAGGAGGGCAGAGGCGTGTATTGTAAATGGGATATATCACTTTGATACCATCACAGGAAGGCGAGGGAATACCAAGAGAGGCGGCGTCGCTACGCCAGCGTCTTTATTTTATTTTCAATTAAAAGCATGCGTATGATGTTCTGTGTCTTCAACCGACAACAAACCTGGGAGGGTGGGTAGATGATTGGAAGGAGGGAGGGGTGTGTGGCGTTCGGCTTGGTGATCGGCAGGGACTCGTTGGTACGCTGGGCCGCCGTGCAGCTTGGGTACCTGCGTCGGTCTGTGATGGCACCTGGTTGATTGGATGCGAGGATGCGGAAAGTCTGCAAAATGAGGTGGTTGAAGGTACACAGCAACTTCCAAGTTGGAAGGCATGTGTGTTGGCAGTATTTGAGCAGACCTGGCTTTTCCTTTTGTGGGTCGGTTACACATCAGGTAGGTCCGTGCAGTTGGAAGGACCTGAATGGTGTGCCATGATTGTCTTTTCTTGCTCCTGTAGATTGTAGATTGGGTTGGGGGAGGGAAAAAAAAAAAAAACCCCCCCCAAAAAACGACCCTGGTCGTGGAAATCTTTAGCGAGAACGCGCCCACGCGATGGATGGCGGGCGCAAGCGCGTTTCCCTTGCTGCACGTTTCCCCTCTTCAATTAATTGCACAGGCCACACAAGCGAGCACTAATGATTCCAATCGGGCGCTCAAGCTCTTTGCGCCCGGGCCGCTGTGGATCAAATATTGAGGCCTTGTCGATTCAATATCCGGCCAGGCGTGTTTGCACAGCTGTCGTCACAGGCGGGGTGGGATCGATGATATCTCGGCCACGAAGCAAGTACGCAGAGAGAAAGCCAAGGACAAAAGACACGAATGAGAGGTGTTCAGATCCATCTCGGCATCTCAGCTTACCTAGGTAGGTAGGTAGGTAGGTACCACCTTTCTGGGGATGCAGAGGAAAGACTTGCATATGTGGTGGCACTGTCGATGCATTCATTACTAGTATACCAACAGCACGTTGGGCATGACATTGGGACAAACCTGGTGCTGGCCTTTTGGACGCGCGAAAAAGCGCAGCTGGTTGTGGGACGCAGCATTTGGCGTCGGGCCTGTCACACGGACCAGCGTCCTCAGTTTGCTCAGCAGAAACGCGACTACGGCGTCGGTGGCTCCACCGAATCCCCCCACAATTGAGCCAAACACCCCGGCCGTGGTGTGGACCAAGCCGCGTCTGCAGCTGCTGGACACGGGCGAAACATTAATACAAGAAGGCTGAGGTGACCAAAAGACATCCCCAATCGACAACCCCCCATCCTCCCCCCCCACTTGCCCTCCTGCTGCCATCCGCCCGAAGTTGGAAAATACTCGTGCCAGCGAGTTGCCCGCCTAGGTACTTGTCGAGACAACCTGTTCATCCGATTTACGGCATTTGCCAAACAAACGCGGGTTAGCTGTACTGTTGTACCCTGCCCGGCCCCTGGCCATCCTCGGCCTTCCCCCGCCATACTCCAGTTGCTGGCGCTGGCCCCTTGACGCGCCCGCGTGTGGCCCACGACGCATCACGAGCAGCCCTCTCGTACCCGACCTTTATATCCCATTCTCTCCATCCCGGAATCACCTTTCTGATCCTGCTGTGTTCCCCCCGACACGCCCCCGTCGGACCCAAACCCCTCACAACAATGAATGTACCAGCAGCCTCGTCACCAAAGAGGCGCGTCCTCGGCCCTCTGGACGTGAACAGGTCCTCACCAGCACCACCCATGGCGACAGGGGCCAAATTTGCCGGCGCGGCGGCGTCGGCCTCGCCCCTGAAGCTCTCTGCCACGTCGCGTCCGACGCTGCCCACCGAGCAGGAGCAGCCACGGAAGCGGCCCTTCGCGTCAATGGCCGGTACCGCCGCCGCCTCCCACCAACAACAACCAGTCAAGAAAGCCTGCATGGATCCCGAAGTCAAGGACGAGACCCCCACTTCTTCGGACGAGTCGACGCAACAAGAGCAGCCGGTATGTGGAAGCTTTGGCCTCTCGTACCCCCGCGATGTGTGTGGGGAACCTTGCAGCAATTAGAAAGAAAAAAGACGCGCACGCGACACGCTCTGCTGGGCAACACCAACTAACATCCGATGCCCAACTGGTCTGTAGGAGTCGATTGAGCGCGATGCCGATACGAGGCAACGATCCCCGTCTCCCGCCGAGTCCTCCGTGTTCGACATGTCTGGTGTTGACACGACCCAGGCCACGGCACTAACAGAGCCTGACGTCGAGGACCCTGCCGCCACTTTACCATACCCGGCACCAGCAACGTCCGCCCCAGCGCCGGCCCGACGCCCCCAGTCGCGGACAGAGGCCACTAGACAGGTAAGCAGAACAAAAGTTTCTATTACCATTTTGGGTTGTTGATAGGCCGTTGTGCAAAGGCTGACAGTTCGTGTGACAAAACAGAAGGCAGAAATGATCCGCCTACGACTGTCCCTGGCGGCGTACAAGGTACGGACTGGACAGACAGACGTGCCTCTCGAGCGGCTGCAGATGATCCGTCCCGCTTCGGCCGGCCTCTCCGGCTCAAGACCGTCATCCGCCGCTGAGACAGCGGCGGTGCGGGCACCACACAGATGCTCGATTGCTTCGACATTGTCCAGCGACAGCAGACATGACGGTGTCTCGCCCCGCCCCGCTATCGCCCGCGTGCATCCTCCTCCATTTGTCTTCAGCGTGCCTAGCGAGACGGCCCCGGCAACGCGAAGAGCCTCGGGCGACAACCAGGAGGTTCGTCGTGACCCTCCTGCGCAAGAGTCGAGGCAAGAGCAGCAGCAGGATGAGAAGATGCCGGCTCACCCGGGCCCCAGACTTGGTACCTTCCCTGCACCCCAGCCTCCCCGCATACCCTCGCTGGCGGCACCGCCGCCAATCATGATTCCCAGCGGTCCTGGGAGCGAGGCCGCCGCCGGCCTCATCAGGAGTCCCCTGCGTGGGCCTGCGGCCGATGGGCTATTAGAGCTTATGAAATCTAGCCAGTAACGGCTTATTTTTCGATATAGTTGGCTTTTTGGTATACATCCAGGAAGGGTAATAGAAGTCAGGGTCTTGCTATAACCGCTTAGCAAAGCAAAGAAATGTTTTTGATGGGTTCCTGTGGCTTGACTGATCAACTTTATCGCTCATGTCTGACAAAGATTTGCGGCACCGATGCTGATGGGAGAATCGAGGTGCCCCGGGGGAGGGTAGAATAAAACGGATGGGTGGGAGAAAATACGGTCGTCTTGGTGAAGATGTCTCAAAAGCGTTGGTTGTCGGACCGGAGTTTCGGGGGGGCATATCTGCTAGGCCAATCTATGGTTTCGAGGGCATGTGATCTGGTACGTCAGGCGCTTTGTGTCTGAGTATATGGAGGAAATCTTTGCGAATATCTGAAAAGTCGCTGGTTGTTGGTTTTTTTTTTGCTTTTTTTGTGGAAGATATGCATGGACGTTTGGCCCGTTGTCGGAACGCACGTATCGAGGACGGGTATGACTAATTCGCGGGAACAAGCGAAAGGAGGGGGTGGTGGGTACAGGTAGGCTCGATTCAATCGGTGGCGGGGCTTGAACCGATTTGAAGATGGGCGTCGGGATGATCCAAGTTGGGTTCCATTATCCAAAACATATAGAAATCGAATAATCCCCGGCATCGTCTTTTTTTCATTCTTTTTTTTTTTTTCATCGTAGCATCGAACCAGACCGCGATGGTGGTTGCGTCCCGTCCCTCTTGGCCGACCCGAGCAGCTGGGTCGGCTAGGCTTGGCTGGGATCACCATGGGGACCCTACGTGCCTCTTGGGCGGGCAGGGGACATGGATGGACGGGAGAGCCAACCACACACACCCCCCCACATGGCGCAAGTGCTGCCTGCATGCAACCCCGGGTCGATGCATGCTGACGGGCAGCAGGCCGGCATTGAGGGCGGGCACCGTCGGCGCCTCATTGGGTGCTCTCTGCCCCATTTACATGTACCCAAACTAGCCCTTATTATACATGGACAGATTTTGGTGCAATCTAGCGCTGCCGTCGCCGCGGTTGCTCCTCCTGTTGCTGCCCCTCGTCCCCCTTCCTGCCCTGCCGCCACCGCTCCACAAACTCCTCCAGGTCGACGTGGACCCGCAGCCCGCGGCCAGCCATGGTGTCGAACACGGCCCGCAGCTCGGCGCTCGCCAGGTCCGCCACCAGGCCCGGCGCGAACGCCTCCATCAGCACCTCTTTGGACCACGGGCATGCCGCCATAGCCCGGTAGAGCACCTCCTTCCCCTTAGCCTTGCGCCGCAGCTCCGCCCGCGACCCGACGAGGCGCAGGTACGACGCCCAAAGCCGCGCGTCGCCCGCGCAGGGCCCACCGTCGCCGCCGCCCGCCAGGGCTGCCTCGAGCGCCGCCCGGGCCGTGTAGGCGTTGCCCGTCCGCACCTCGTGCCGGATGGCAAAGATGCGCGTCGAGACGCAGTCGTGCGGGCTGGCGAGCGCCGTCTTTTGGAGCAGCTTGCGCACGGGGCTGTCGATCCGGAGGCTCGGCTCTGCCCAGTCGAACAGGGACAGGAAAATAGTGTTGCGCGGGAAAAGCTCGACGAATCTGTGCAGCTTCTCCCTCAGGAACGCCGGCCTATATGGTCTGCTCGGATGGAATGGCGCGCGTTAGAGCCGTGGGCATCAGGTGTCCGCAGCCCGAATGCGACGGTGGAGAAAGAAAGACTTACCCATGTTTGGTGTGAAAGTAAAGGAGTTTCGCCCCGAACTGGAGGAGACGCTCGTGCGTCGCCGACACGGCTAGGGCACCGCGAGTGCACAAGTCACCGGAAAACCCGAGGATGCTGGATATCGCGGCCGAGATGTTACCTTGGCTTTCCGACCTGGGCTCGCCGCATTCGCTGTTTGTTAGGTACTCGAGGAGGGCAAATGACTGTGCAAACTGCGCAGCAGCCTCGGCGTCACCAGATGAGAGCCGGTAGTCGCGGCCGGACTGGAATGTCTGCCGCATCCTGAGCAGCGCTGCAGGCGTAAGAGCCGCATCCGGTGACTGGCTCCCGTCGCTGATTGAGCTGCAGAGGAAAGCAGTAGCCTTTGGTTTGTCCAAGCTCGCCAGTGCTATCCACGCCGCGGCGTTCCAAAGGCATTGCGTCTCCGACACTTCGGGGCTTATTTTCTGGCCGGCCGCTGATACCAGTACTTTGCAAGCCAACTCATTGTTTCCATCGGCGCTTTCCGCGGCCGCGTAGGCCGTGTAGAGCCTTGCGTTGTTAGGGTAGTGGCTTTTGAGGAGAGCCTTGGCCATCTTCCTCACGCCCTGCGCATCTCGCAGCCACTGCAGGGCAAGATGATACTCGGCAAGATCCTCAAACCCACACTGCAGCACGAGCTGTTTGACTGAATTCAAAGCCCAGTAGAGACGTCCTTCCGTTGTTTGTAGCTCAGGCGCGCCCGGCTCCAGAGGGAAGTACCTGAACCAGTCCGGCCCTGAGAAATAGACATCCACTGAGGACGCCATCCGTGGCTGGTCCTGCCGGAATCGAGGCAGCTTCTCCGAAAGCGCGGAATGCTCGTCTGACTGTAGTTGTTGCATTTTGCTCTCCGTGCTCTGTTTGCCTATCTCCTCCTCGAGCTGCGCTTCGTCACCGGCGAGGAACGGGTCGTCAAGAGCAGAGTAAGGCAGACCGTCGGGCCCAAGCGGCGGTGGGAGACGGCAGAACTGCGCCAGGGCGGCGGCCAGGCGCCTCTTGGTGTACAAAAGCACCGACGACGGAGCTGCAAACAGCAGGTCCTCCATGTCGGAGATCAAGACGACTCTGAACGGGTCATCGTCCGCCCCCGAGTCCATGGCGCGGGCAGGCACCGCGCTCTGGGCTGATTTGCGACGCTCCTGCGCCGCCCACTCCTTATAGGCATCGCGTGATGTCGGGGCCACGGGAGGCGCAGGGTGTTTGGGTTCCGGGACATCATCCTCCTCGCTCGCCTGGCGCCATCCGCGAGAGCCCTCCTCTCCGAACCGCGCCGTTTCTCCCTCCCAGAAAAGTCCAAAGGAGGAGATGCAAGCGTCCGACTTGGCGTCCGCCAGCTCTGGAGGGCGACAGAAAGTCAACTCTAGCATGGCCTGCCACGTTGCGAGTGCTACTTCGCCGAAACCGGCATCTTGAAGAAACCGGGTCGCACGCAGGAGAACGTATACGAGCTGATCCACAAGGTCGGCCACATCCCTCTCGGGAGAAGCTATGCGCTCTTCCAGCCTCCCCTTGAGCCATTTCATCCGCTTCACAAAGAATGCTTTGCTAGTTTCGAATTTAAAGGACGCCACATCAGTCATGGTGTGGTTGAGGTGAGCCCTCCACAGCCTGAAGCTTTCCGGGTGCTTCTCTGTCGTTGCGATCCAGCGGGCTGCCTGGGTTTTAGGGCTCCAAACGCGTGATCCCTCACGCATGAGCCCTAGCAGAAGCCGCTCCTGGTCTGCTTCTGATTTCGCGTGAGCCAGTGCCGACTCGAACATTGATAGTTTGACGTCGGCTACACCACGGGACGCGTTGGCATCTCGGCTATCCGGGCCATCCTGGCCGATACGTAGCCTTACGTCCTGGAGCTCGATGAGGCGAAGCCACGAGTCTACGTCCTCCGGATGTTCCTTGACACGGCGAGAGAGGCTGATATGTTGCTTCTTTGTATCGTCATTATCCTCTCCATTGTCCACGTCGTCGTCCGACACACTGCCGCCGTCCGATGCTGCTTTGCTGGGCTGCCACAGATCGATGGGCCTGAACGGGCGAGCATCCTCGTCTCCAGAGCTCGGAGAGTCACCATCGTCTACTTCGCGATTCCGTTTCCGGGCATCGCCAAGAGGCATAAAGTCACCAGGCGCAGTACGTTTGGTATCTGTTGCGACAGGTGCATGTGGCACAGTCCGCTTTCCCTTGGCCGTGATAAGCTTCAGCAGGCTGGATGATTTCTGGCTGAGGAGAGAGCCGCCGTCCCCAGACGTTCGGACAGTGAAGGCCTCGTTGATGCCATCCCGATCCAGCACGAGGAAGCCCCGGCGGCAGCCCAGGATCTTGCCACGGCCGAGTCTCCGGTAGACGGGCACACGGGAACGCTCGTTGGACCCGTATTTCAGGATCAAAGGGTCGCCCCGCTGGTCAACGATATACAAGCTGCTGGCAGTTCCGACGGTGCCCCCTGGTTTCGTGGCCGGACCAGGAGACTGGCGATCTGAGCGGCTGTGGCGGGACGGGCTGTGGCTATGGCTATGGCTGTGCTTTGCCCGTTTTCTGTGGCTGCTGTCGTCACGACTGCCTTTATGGTCACGGCGGCGGTGACGGTGCCGGCGATCGCCGCGATCCCCAGACGTTGCATCTTGTGACTCAACGCCGTGAGTGTCTCTGGCGGGATCGCGCGAGTGGCCAGACGAGACAAGCGATGCTACTATGGTCTCACCCCTGGAGGGGGCGGATGTGCGCTCTTTGGAGGACATGCTAGACAACTGTGCATCGTCGCCAGCGCGATCCTCGTTGAGGGGGGCTAGATAATTATCCAAGGTTTGGGTTGGCGAGAACGCTGCAATTTATCGTCGTCGGCATGGTGCGCGTCTTGGCCTTGACGCGCAATTCAGGGAGCAGTCAAAGACATGGATTGAGGATGGCCCTTTACTGAAGTGTGGCGCCGCTGGGCGGTTGGGTGTCGTGCGTGGCTCCTGCAGGGCATGTGTGGCTTAATGTAGGCCTTCTTTCGGTCAAACCTCAGCATGACAGTGCGTGTCGCTGTGGTGCTGCCCAAAAGTCCAAAGTGGACGCACGTGGCAGCGCCCAAACGATGCGACAGTTCCATGCAATATGACGCAACAGCGGGACCCTCTCGTCTCATGTCTGGTGTACAGCCTGCGTGCTACCCGGCCAAGCTGCAGCACCACGGGCGCCATGGACGCTGTGGAACAAGTGACAGCACTAGGGATGGACCTGGCCGCCCCATCGAGGTTTTTGGGCTATAGTTGACAGCGACTCGTGCGCTTGCCGTGCTTCCGCGAACCGCTCGGACGAAATGGCGATGGCAATAAAAACAGCAACTAAAACACCCCCGAGGCAGCATCTTTGCATTCCGTTTCTTTGTTCGATTTACCTGCTTCTCCGACCCGCTCACCCGAGGCATGTGACATGTGTTGCAGGTGGATCGTGGCCGTGACACCAGCATGATGATGTCTTGGGTGGGTGAGCGCTAGCGATATAGCTGGGCCGCAGCCTGCAACCAGCAGATCACCAAGCTGGGTGGGTGGGTGACCGGTAGTAGTACCTGCCCGCCCAGGGACCTCGCCCTCACTTGTCATAGCGTGCTGTCGCCCGGACCCTGACCTTGCCAATCGCGGACCACCGCCCCACCCAGCTGGCGCCCGAATCAAGGCCGCAACGACAACGCGCCTGAACTGTTGGTTTCGATTCCCGATTCCCGACACAGCAGTCGACACAGCAGCCGACACAACAGCCAGCACACCGAGCCCGGCCTCGACACCAGCCTGCCGCCAGCACACAATGCCAGACCGGAGGGGCCGAGGGTACGGCACTCACATCACGTACGCCGACGACCCCATCCAGAAGAACCCCGAAGACGCAGGCCCCGCCGACATGGATGGCCAGAGGCCGCCGCCCACCATATCGCTGCCCCCGTCGCCGACGTCGGTTAGGCGCCCACGCCACCACGGGGGCAGCATTCAGGGCAGCAGGCACGGAAGCCGTCGCGGCTCTTTCTCGGACCAGCCACCCGACGAGAGGACCTCGCTGCTGGGCGGCTCCCGCCCGCGCATGCGCATCCAGAGCACCCACGACGCGAACTGCAGGCCCGACCTGTCCCGCAACCCCAGCTTTGCCGGTGCGCCCCTCCCCTCCCCCAAGGCCGAATAAGGTCGAGCGAGGCTCCCTCCGAGAGACCCGTGCCGCTAACCATGTAGCCGATCCGCCGTGCAGGAAGCGTGCTGCACTCGCGCCACCACAGCCGCGGCGGCTCCCTCACCCAGCGCCTGATGCACGCCCTCGCCGACAGGCAAGAGTCCTCGTCCGCCTCCAAAGGCTACGCCCTCCCCGAAGACCGCGTCTGGTACGACCAGTTCACCTCGACCGACTGGGTCCACGACAGCATCGCCGATGCCTACCGCGTCAAGGCCCTGCGCAGCCGCAAGGACTTTTGGGGGCGCGTTTACGTGCTCTTCGACGGCGCCCAGGGCTGGATCCTCAGCGCCGTGGTCGGCTTTGTCGTTGCCGTTCTCGCCTACGTCGTCAACGTCACCGAGTCCACAATATTCGACTTTAAGGACGGTTACTGCGCCCGGGGCTGGCTCCTGAGCGAGAAGGCCTGCTGCCCCCACGGGGCCTGCACCGACTTTCGCATGTGGGGTGAGGTCCTCGGCGGGAGCCTCCTGGGCGAATTGGCCACCGACTACGTCGTTTACGTCGTCGCCGTCGTGCTCCTGGCCACCGTGTCCTGCCTCATGACCCTGCGAACCAAGACGGTAGTGCCTTCGGCCTACCGCCTCACCACCCTGGACGAGAACTTGGCAGCCGAGAGAGCCCGCACCATCGAGTTCGACGACCACAACACCGAAGGCAGCCCCAGTCCCGACTCGTCCCACAGCCCGAGCCAGCACCCGCCCGCCGGTGAGCCGGCCTCGGACCCTCCCATGATATACTACTCGGCCGCCGGCAGCGGCGTGGCCGAGGTGCGCGTAATCCTCAGCGGCTTCGTCCTGCACGGCTTTCTGGGCTTGAAGACCCTCCTAGTCAAGACTGTTGGCCTGATCCTGAGTGTAGCCTCGGGCCTGAGCCTAGGAAAGGAGGGGCCCTACGTGCACATCGCCACTTGCGTCGGCAACATCGCTTGCCGCCTGTTTTCCAAGTACGACCAGAACGACGGCAAGCGCCGTGAGGTCCTCTCTGCCGCTGCCGCCGCTGGTGTGGCTGTCGCCTTCGGTGCGCCTCTGGGAGGTGTCCTCTTCGGGCTTGAGGAGGTGGCCTACTTCTTCCCGGCGAAGACTCTCTTCCGCACCTTTTTCTGCTGCATTACGGCCGCCCTGACGCTCAAGTTTCTGAACCCGTACGGCACTCACAAGATCGTCATGTTCCAAGTTCAGTACAAGCTTGACTGGGAGTACTTTGAGCTCGGCTCCTTCATCGCCGTCGGCGTACTGGGCGGCGCAGCTGGCGCCCTGTTCATCAAGGCCTCGCGCAAGTGGGCCGAGACGTTCCGCCGCATACCCGTCATCCGCGCCCATCCCCTTCTCGAGGTCGTCCTCGTGGCCACCATCACCGGCATGGTCGGCTACTGGAACGTGCTGACCAAGCTGCCCGTCGCGAAGCTGCTCTACAACCTCGCCGCTCCCTGCGACGCCAAGGACGACAATCTCGACCAACTTGGGATTTGCCCCACTAGTCGTGAAGAAATTCCGGCCATCGCTCTCAAGCTGTTTAGCGCTTTTCTCATCAAGGGGATCCTAACCATTGTGACCTTTGGTATCGTGAGTAGAAACACTGGTCCGCCGGGGAGCCGTCGGGCAGGGACAGCGCTAACCCCATCGTCTATCCACTACCGCTTATACAGAAAGTTCCGGCCGGCATCTACGTACCGTCCATGGTTGTTGGAGGCCTTCTTGGGCGGCTGATAGGACATGCCGCACAGTACTTGGTCCTCAGCACCCCAAACTGGGCCGTTTGGGGCAGCTGTGCCCGCATTGGCGATGCCGGCTGCATTCAGCCCGGCGTCTATGGTCTCATCGCGGCCGGGTCGACCATGTGCGGTGTGACCCGGCTGTCGGTTACCCTGGCTGTCATCCTGTTTGAGCTGACTGGTAGCCTCGACTACGTCTTGCCCTTCTCGCTGGCCATCCTGGTTGCGAAGTGGACTGCGGACGCTATAGAGCCGCTCAGCATATACGTAAGTTGAACGCGCTCACTTGGTCGATGGTCTCGGGCGGAGGGAGATTTATGTCTAGGAACTAACGGCGCTGCGTGGTAGGATCTCTTGACCGAGATGAACTCTTACCCGTTCCTAAACAACAAGCACAAACCCATCTTCACGTCAGACCTTGGCGCCCTCGTGCCCCGAGTGCGGCGTGAGCGCATTATCGACATCACCAACTCGCCGCTCGTGCGCGCTACCAGTCTCCGCAAGAAACTCGAGATCCTACACCGCGCGGGCGAGATCGATGGCGGGCTGCCCATCGTGCGCGACCAGGTCCTCGTCGGACTCATCCCAGCGCCGGACCTCGAGTTTGCCCTGGACCAACTCGAGGACGAGGCGTCGAGCCTGTGCCTAATGGCCGACATTCCCAGCATCGACGACTCGGACGACGGACTCACCGACCCGACCGATTTCACGCGCTACATCGATCCGGCACCCGTGGCCCTCGATATCAAGTCACCCCTGGACCTGGTGTATGAGTGTTTTGTCAAGCTGGGCCTGCGGTATATCTGCGTCCTCCGTGACGGCAAGTTCGTGGCTGTGGTATGTCTGTCCAGTTGCCCTTTTGAAATACCCGTCATATATGTTTCTGGCGGCACCTTCTAACATGGCCCCAACACAGGCGCACAAAAAAACATTCGTCAAATACATGCGTGATCTCGAGAACCATGAGAACCATGATGCATGATTCGCCGCTTCTCTTTTTTCTCGTATCTCCTTTTCCTGTTTTACCTTGCTTCGGCTATAAAAGGGGTTTCTGTTGGTCTGTTTATGGACGAGAAACGCTTGTATGACCGGGGCGGGTGTGTTTGTATATGTTCTGCATCGCACTAGCCTCATCTTGCGCATATGCCAGCATGTCTGTTGTGCATTTGCGCCCTATTTTCTTTTGCAAATCTATTCATTGCATTTGTTTCTGCGCCTTTTTGTGTTCCACCTTGGATCCTATAGCACTGCTGCGTGTGGTCTTGTGGTTTGGGTGGTCTGTCTGGGTGGGTTGGCATATTTTCGCTACCTTGGCTGGGGATGAGGTTTTCCATTTGCATAATCCCCACCGTCGACAGATCGGGGCAGTCTAGTACTGCTATGCCATCTACTCGTTGGTTTGTCTTGCCCGCTTATTTGCGCGTCCTGCGCGTGCTGCGAATTCATGTGACGAACTGGATGATGTGATATGGATCGCCAATATGCGAGTACTGGACCGGGGACGCTGGCCTCGACGTGGCCCCCCCCCCAACGTGGCAGGGGGAACCCCGGGCGCCGCGACGGCGTCTGGTACCACCATGGCAAGCGAAATGCGCAGTCTGGCTACCTATCGAACACGCTCTTTGTAAAGGTGTGCCCCAGCCCCAGGCCTACAACAGGACATGGCGAGATGCCGATCCGGGCATTGAGAGATGATGCTGCCGTTGTACCTGTCGAGTGCCGAGGCTGCCATTTTCCTTGCACCTCTTTCTGAGCCTGCGGGTTTCCAACTGCCAGAATGCAGGGGACTAGCTGGTCAGATGCTGTGAAACCTGAGCCGATCGGTGGTGCGGGCCATGACACGCAGAGCACGTTAAACACATGCATGCAGACGCGGCAGGGACCCGGGCCCGGGCCCGGGCCTGTGGCACGTCATGAGCAGGACGGGACAGACTTGAAAGCGCACAAATGGGTTGTTCCCGTGTACTCTGATGCACACGCCTCTCTCTCTCTCTCTCTCTTTTGATTCTCCCCAGAGGGAGACACCGGAGCCGGTCGGGACTCTTGGGCGGATTCAAAATGGAAACTGGGATAAATATATCAAAATTGAGATGAATGATCCAAAAACAAAAAGAAAGGTGAGGAGAGCAGATACGGCATCGCCGCTTGAATTGATACGTCGTCTCCCCTCACTGCGTCAAATAGTAAAGAAAACAGGAGCCGAAAATTGCCAACATGGAAGTAATACATAGTCAACCCGGAAGTGACCAAGACAATAATAGGTTACTCCGGGGCGCGATCGCGATATACGCCTTGTAACACAGAACACCTGCTCGTGACTGTCTCAATGTTGGCTAGCAAAAGTAACGAGTTTGGGCAACTGCAAAAAGTCTCTATAGGCGAAGTAGCCATCAAGCAAGAACAATACGGCGGGGAAAAGAGAAACATGGCTCGAAGAGCAGTGTGTACAGTCAATAGTAACCAAGAAGAATGTAATAAACATATTGAAAGGCACTGCGTGCATGATTTGCGCGCAATTCTGGGGGTATCTCGGTAGGAATCGTATGTGTGGTTGTGTGGGCTATTAGTGGTGGATATGTATGGGTATATCGGCTTGGTGATAGCTTCTGTGACTGCACTTTATCTCTCGGACAGATATTGCACATGTCCGATGGTTCCGGATAGGCGGCCTGCATACGGCACACGTTGTCATGGCTCTGGGGCATCGGGCTCGAGCTCAGGGCTAGAAATCTCCAACGGCGGGAGGCCAGATCGTGACCCTGTCGGTGTGCTTGGGGCTGGAGCGATCTCGGGGTCGCCAATTTGTATGTCGAGCTATCATGGCAGGCACTAGTCAGTAAGCAGGCACGACAGGTGGAGAGCATAGTCGGTGGATCACTCACCGTCATATAGGCGGTCTGGCGCAGGGGCATGATCTTGGGCGCGATGCCTGCCTCGTCAGACCCAACTGTCTTTTCCATGTCCTCGTTCCATTGTTCGATCCAACGCTCCAGTTTGCTCAGACGCATCTTCGCGCCAGTGAGACCGAAGTCTTCCCACAACCAGCCGGTGGCGACACCCAAGACGCCGTCCACAATATTTCTCCAGCTGTATGGATTGAATATCGGCACCAGCTCGCTGTTGAGCTTGTCAACGACACGCCGGAACTCCTGCTCTGTGAGACCAGCCGGGTCGAGTATCTCTGGGTACAGATTTGAGAAGGTCGGGGCAAGGTCGCCCTCCAGGAGCCAATCCCTCCGTATCCGGATGATGCGCGTGTTGACATACTCTGGCGATCCCACGGGAACATGGGGGTTGAGGTGCGGAAAGCAGGGGTGCTGTGGCCCCCACTCTTCGCCTGCTCCGGCCTCCTGGTCTGGATCGCCCATTATCGAGGAGTCAGACGAAGAGATGGCGGACCCTATGCCATCGGGCATCGACACAGTCGAGTGCCGCTGATTACTCATCGCCCCGGCACCGGGAAGGATATCCGGACCTCTCTCCAGGTCATGATCCCTGGGAGGTAGCTGCATCGACTGCCTGGCAGCTTGCCTCGCGGCTTCATCTTCCTCTTCGGGTGGCATGACTGCTTTTCCCTTTCCTTTATCCAGTGTCCCTGTGACGGCGTAATGCTCGTGGTTCAGGTCACTAGGCGGAAGCGTGGGGAACTGCCACCGCACTGGGCTTCGGTTCCACGCGTCCTCTAAACCGAGGCTTGAGGGAGAGTCTGTTGTGCGATCTCGCGCGTCCTTGGGCCTCGGCTCCGAGGGACCAGCTTCGGGCGTTATGGGAGACGCCCGATGTGAGGCTTCATATGATTGCCTGACGGAGGGTGGAAGGCTGATGCGGCCACTGCCAGATCGTTCAACCTGAAGGCTGGCGCGGGTCGAGGTCGAGTGGCGGGTTTGGCGCTGCTCGGGGAGCGTCAGCAAGGGATGCTCGCCGGCGCTAGTGTCGATGAAGTGAGACGGATCGGTCGCGACAGATGCGTCGAGGGTCGGGTGTGCGAGGGGAACAGGGGGAGGCGGCGGGGTGGACGGTCGTCGCGGGCGTCGGGTGGCAGTGGCGGGTGACCGAGGCGTAGAGTTGACTGGGTTCCAGAGGCTGCCGGTGGCCAAACGGCGAAGAGGGCGAAGGGGACGGTCACGAGAAGAGTTGCTGCCGGCACGGGTGCGGAAGGGTGGTTGCAGCGGAGGAGGCAGTTGGGGGTAGTTGGAGGGATGGGGAGGGTGGTGATGGTGTAAGTTGTGGGCGGGCGCGGCGGCTGCGGTGGCCGGACGCGCGGGCTGGCGATGATCTGGCGGCGAGGGGCCTAGGGCGGGTAGGTGTGCAGGTCGAGGGCTGGAGGGAGCGATTGGAGCCGTGGGGGGAAATTAGCTTCAGTGGCGGCCGCCGAGACGGCCTCACTGACGACGCTCGAATGGTTTTTGGAGCCTTCTAGGCGCGCGGGCACCACGAGCGTGGATTGCGCCTCGTGCCGCTCGCCACTAGGGGCGGGGACGGGAGCGAGATGTGATATTAGGATTAGCGGCGAAGGCAGCGCCGGTGCCCGGCGGTGCGCCTGGTTGGCTGCGTGGCGAAGGGGTGCCAGCGACGGCTCGTCGTGGTCGTCGTTAGGGCGGCTGTGTCGCGCGGGAGAAATTCTGCTCGTGGACGCAGGACCCGACCTGCCGACCCCAGCGCTCCTCCTCCTCCTTCTCCTGGCGGGAAGCGATGGCAGCAGCGAGTGGCAATTCGCGATGGCGTCGTCGCAGAGCAGCCGAGGCAGGGAAGGGGCAGGGTAGACTGGCTGCTGCTGCCGCTGCTGCTGGTGTTGCCGTTGTGCGAGCTGCTGCCTCGACGCCGTGGCTGTTGGAGCCGTTTGTCTGGTGTGGTCGAACCAGTGCGAGTGCGAGTTCGGGTGCGAGCTTGAGTGCTGGTGGTGTGGTGCTTCGATTGATGCTGCTGAGCGGCAGAAAATTCGCGGCCTGGGCTGCTGCTGTGACTGCTGAAATTGCAGGCCCGAGAAATTGCAGTCGCTCAATCGAAGGGGCGAGCGACGCAGCGGTTCGGTTGGTTCGTTCTGTTGCTGGGTCGCGGTTGCAGCACCCACCTGGAGGACCGCTCTGATGGCCAGATCGGCTAGGGAAAAGGCAGGGCAGCCCCAATTTGGCTTAGTGACGGGTCCCCTTTGGGCCACTGCCAGCATTGTCGCACGCCTCTGCGCCGCCTGGGGCTTAGGCTGCTCTCGCGCACGCGACGTGCAAGTGGAGACCCGATGTAAATGTCTGGTTTTATACGGGCGACCGCCTCAATGCACAGAGTTTCGAGGACGGCGAGGGAGGAGGATAACAATAACAGAAAACAAAACAGGACTGCCTGCCAACCCCCCGAGATGACCAGGAATCCAAGCAGCCCACGAACGGGGCTTCCCGAAAACCCCGGGCTTTCTCAGCTCGACTCAGCGCAGAGACGTTGTGCTTGCTTCCACCCGCTGGCTGTTTCGACCAGGCTGGTTAGAGAGCGCGACGAGGCCCCGGCACCCGAGACCGTGCGTCCCCAAAACCTGGCTTGCTCTGGGACGGGAGTCTCGGGAAAAGACAGCTCGGTTTTGTTTATTTTGCTTTTTGGTTTCTTTCTTTGTCCACGCGCCACAAAGCCCACAGTCCAGTCCAAACTGCACGAGTGAATTAGTTCGAGCCCAGTCTTTATAGTCGACGCCCCCAAGTTATACCCCCCGAGTATACTTCCCGAGTATACACTAAACAGTGGGCGGTGCTCGAAACACCCAGAAGGCCGGAAAGGGGACGGTAAACGGGACAGTAGTGACCTACAGGACAAGTCGGGGGGACGAGGGTTCGATTGGTGTTCTAGGCAGCCGCCTTTTATTTGGTCGCCGTCGTCTTCGAAACGGTGCCAGGACGGGACGCGTGGGGAGAAGGCTGAAAGGCGGAGGGAGTCGGTCTTAATTATGTGTCCAAGGCACGCACGCAACCTTCTAGGTGGATGTAGCAGTGTCCTCCCCGCCACCGGCCCGCCGTCATCCCTCATTCCCTTCCCACTGCCTCCAGCCTCCAGCCTCCAGCCTCCAGCTTCCAGCACCAAGTACCCAGCCAGGAAGACGGTGGAGCGGCTCGGTAATGCCCGCACGGAATGCTGCTTTAAATTGCCTCCTCCAGCCACCTGTGCCGTGCTGTGTGCAGATACGAACGAGTAAGGCTCCCATGACTAGCTTCTCGCCCAACAGTTCACACCTTTCGAATGTCAATGCACAAGCTTGGGCTGCCAATGTGCCTGCCAGAGATGAAAGGCAGGGCGGCCAGCGTGCTAGCCTTCCTGCGCTGACATCACATCCTTTCAGGGCTGTTTTTGCTGACCACCCCTGCAGGTCTCTTCCTAGCTGTAGCCCCAAAGCACATGGCGAATATAGAATACTGCCAATGCAAAGTAGGTGAATTGTCCTATTTTATGCGAACCTAGATTTGCTGGTGCCACACATCCAAATTTACACATTGACCCCTGAGTTACCAAGATTCCATCCTTGCGAGCCGAGTCCCCTAGCGCTGTCTGGTCTTCCCCAGGTGCGGAAATGACTGATATCTGACCGCATGGTTTGGAAGCAACCATGTATCTTTGAAGAAAATAGTATGTTCCACAGATCATGTGATGGCCTATGCGCTCAGCAAGGTATCATCCAGAAAATAAAGAGGCCGTATTTATGGGTTCTAGGCCTGGCTTCTCCTTGAAGTACGGTAATGGCCACGCCGTTCGTTGATTAGACCATGCCGAATACATCATTTGGTCTCAAAAAGAGTTGTTCTTTTCCATGTACATCGGTGCGCTACAGACAAGGTCAAAAAAATCCGACGAGATGCTTTACGTCTTGCTTGCCAGATCTTCCTGTCCAACATTTTGACTTATGGATAAATGAATACTCGTCTGCATCCACGGTTGGATAATCCATTGTCCATTCTGCAGCCGCCTCGGCGTCCTGAAGTGTGACGACTGCATAACACCCCTGCCGCCTGTCCACATTCCGCCAACCAAATGCGCTGATGTCCCAAAGAACGACGGCAGCGATGTAACCCCAGCGAGATGTAATCAATGCCGGGGATGGAGCAACAAGCGGATGTAGGCTAGTTGCGTGCGGGCCCAAGAAAGAGGGCCAAATTCTCCGGCACGCAGGCGACGTGCGGAGCATGTGCATCTCAGACACAGCACGTCTTTTCCAGTAGCCGGCGGCGAGGCCAGAATGCGGGCGCTGGAAGCGACGCCCCTCTGCTCCTGCCTTGCGTGCCTCGCTGTGGAATGCATGCACATGCACGATGGTTCGGCACCCGACGCTACCAAGGTTGGTGGCGTCAGCACTCCTCGCCGCCCCACCAGCAGCCGACGGTGAATTGGGCAAGAAAGACGTCAAACACTCGCCTGCTTTTGGGGTCGCCTAGATTCGCGGCGCCAATAAGGCGCGCCCGCCCGTTCCGCCTCCTCCCCGCGACAACAAACAAAAAGAATCGCAGAGCGCCCAGACGACAAAACCAGCGACAAAATCAGACGACAAAACCCGCCGCGTTCCCATGCTGTCGCAGAGGCGCCCGCCCACCGACACGACAAACCCGAGCAGCGGCTGACATGGCAGACGGCACCAATCCCGCGAGCACGCCGACCAACTCGACCGGCTCCAGCGGCAGGGATGTCCCACTGCTCTATGATAAGGCCGCGAACGGCGGGAGGCGACCCGCTCACCACCATCCCCCCTCGACCGCGCCCACTTCTGCTACTCCACCACAACCACAACCGTATTCCCTAGCCCCTGGCCACAGCCTGAGGCGTGCGGCCACTATCGCCGAGCCCTCACTGCGCCGCCGCGCCGTGCTCTCCCCGCTCGAGCAGCAGGGTTCCGCCGAGCCCGGTAGCACCGCTCGTCGCCGCGACTCGGCCATTTCGTCCGACTGCAGCCTCGATGCCCTCAACAGTCCCAGCCGCAGGCCCGGGGTCGTAATCAACAAGCCGGATAGGTCGATCGGGCCTGATATGCAAGCTCTCCCACTCCTCTTTGCTCTGCTTCCCGCTCTCGGCGGCCTGATATTCAAGGACGGCAGCGCCTTTGTGACCGATTTTCTCCTGCTCGGCTTGGCCGCTGTGTTTTTGCATACCACGGTCACACAGCCATGGTATGAATCTCCAAACCCTGACTCCCGTCGCTTAGGATACGGCAGCCTTTGGCAGCGCTGATGGTACTTTGAAGGAGCTGGTATCACTCCGCTCAGCAGATAAGAATAGCTGAGGAGGTAGTTACCGAGGAGGTTGTGGACGGGCACGACTACGAAGACCTCAGTGACGAAGATGGTTCAGGGGGCGATGATTATGCCTCCTCTATGGATGGCGGCGAGAAATCCCCGAACAGGCGCGCATCACAGTCGGCAACAAAGCCGCAGGGGACGCGTCATGCGGCGTTGCGGGAACTTTACTTTCACGAGATCGCGGCTCTATTTTTATGCTTCATCTCTCCCGCGCTGGGCGCCAGCATTCTCCATGGCATCCGCACGCAACTCAGTCGGCCGTCTGAGGGTCTCGTGTCAAACTACAACCTTACCGTCTTCCTGCTCGCCGCCGAGATCCGACCCGTTCGTCACCTCATGCGGCTTGTTGAGGCCCGCACCATACACCTGCAACGCATTGTGCTGGCGAACCCGTACGCCAGCAATTTCTCACGGGGGGCCGGCACCGTCAACGGAGCCCGCGGTGGCGGCGAGCCCGTAGTTACCGCCACGCAGTTGGCTGTGCTGGCGGCGCGTGTGGAAGAGCTCGAGTCACAGGTAGTGAACGAGGCGCAGGTGCAAGCGGCGCACAGCGGGCCAGCGGGCTTGGAGGCGCGATCTCAGCGGCGCGACGCGATCCTGCGTGAGGCGCGGTCGCAGATGCAACCAGAGGTGGACGCACTCAACCGCGCGGTGCGCCGATACGAGAAGAAGCAGACCATCCTTGCCGTCCAGCTCGACGGTCGTCTGCAGATGCTCGACGGCCGGCTCGACGACGCGCTCGCGCTCGCGGCACACGCAGCCAAGAACAGCAGGCCCCGCCCATCACTCCTGGCGTCGGCCACCGACCAGATCCTTGTCGCACTGATGCTGCCGTTCCGCGGTATCTGGCTGATCGCATGCCTGCCCGTGCGCCTCCTGACAACAGCTTTCGGCCGCGATCAGAGACAGACAGAAAAGGCGTCCAAGGGCTACAGGAGCGGCAGGTCTTCGCGATCGTCCAGCACAGGCGGGGACCGTTTCCCGGCTAGGCTGTCAAGGAGGTGACAGTGTAGCGTCTGACATGGTATTGTTTTTGGGTTCGACCTATTCGAAGGTATTGCTATATTACTACCCACGTTTAACGGCCTTGCATGGTATACCCCGAGACATGAAGAGTTGGAACAGCAAGAAACTAGTGAGAGAAGAACCAGATGCTGGGCAGTCGAGTGGGGGATAGAGACATTGTGTTCCGGGTTACAAGGGGCGTATGAGATCGTCACTAATACTGCGCAGAGGACGGCCTCACACGGAATGGGTCAAACACCGAGCTGATGCTCAAGATGTCGAGGAAGGTTGCCGCGTGTAGCGTCGAGGACTCTGTTGCGTACTTCAAGTTGGGACGGGGCCCTTTGGGCCTGATATTGGTTCCCGAGGGGCGGGTGGCGTTTTCCGCCTATGCGGCAGATGGTATTGTTTCTATCATTGCTTTACAGGGTTTTCATTTTTATGTTTTTATGTCCATGTCTAGGTATTCGTTCTATTGGAGATTGGCCATATCTCCCAATCGGACATGCTGACCGTGCTCCTTGTGTAAGTGGCCGGAGGGGTGAACCAATCGATGGGCAGAACAAGGGATAACTGCCGATCGTTGCTTTTTTTTTCCTGCTATTTATGGTTTTTATTGCACGCCAATGGCCAAGTGGCTTTCCTTTCTTTTTCTTTTCCCCCTCCCCTCCTTGATTTCACCCCCAGCCCATTTTCTCGGAGCATCGGGGGAAACGGTCGATATCGCGATTCTAGTGGCTCGTCTATTCTTGCTTGGGCCTTCTCCCCTTCCCCTGGCCGGGGCAATACGTGGAGCCGGTAACGGATGGTGGCGTGGATGTGGCCCGGTCGCACTTTTTTCTTCTTCTTTTTTTTCTTTCTCTCTTACCGTCCTCTCGACTCGGGACCTGAAAGGGGACGGTGGCAGGTGTGACACAAGACATGATGGGTGGTGTGAGGGCGTGGTCGGCGGCCAAAGTCGAAGGTGAGGGGGCACGACGTTTGCTTGTTCTACGTTCACCCCATGTGCCATACTGTAATGAACTCGTCATGCAACATATGTCCATCCCAAGTTGATAAAAGAAAAGAAGAGTTGTCACTGTAGCTGAAGTTGTATTTTTTTGCTTCTTTTGCCTTTTTTTTTTTTTTCTCAGCTCGTTTGTGCATGTTCTACATCCACCTGGGCTGAGGATGGCATCCCGTCGGCCAGCTCCGTTCCACACTGGCAGGCCCATCCCGGCGGAGGCCGCCCGCTCCCTTCTTTCGTATAATTTTTTCTCTTTCTTTTTTTTGCTCTCTTTGTCCATGTCCGTTTCCTTGATCCGATGAGTTTGTTTGTCATAAACTCAGCGTGCCCAGCGATGGCGGCAACGTGAGGGGAACCCTTGGCAGGCGGGAAAAAAAAGGGGGATTATCGTACCTGCGTCTTTTCCTGCTGCTCCGCCTGGCCCGTAGCCTGTTTGTCGTCCGCCTTGTTCGTCACCAGCAGCCTTGAATGGGACAAGAACACGAAGACCCGTACTCGTTTCAAACGCCACAGTTTATGCGTCGCCAACTAATTGCGCAGGCTGTTGAGGCTTGTCGTCCCTCCCTGCCTGCCATGTTTGAGGGCTTGTCCACTATTGCCAGGGGAATCAATGCATGAGGGATCGACGGCCCAATCGGGCCATGTTCTCAGCTCGGGCTTCCCAGCTGTCTGGCGCGTCCTCTTTTTTTCTTTTTCCTCCTCTTCTTTTTTGCTCAGTGGCTCATCCGCGCCGGGACCGCCAAGATGTTACAGCTGGGGCTAGGCACGTTGGTCGCCAATCGCGTGGAGTGGGGTTTTAATTTCAACGGAACCCAACGGAACCCCCCTGGCCATCATGAGGAGTGAGCGGAGGAGTGAGCGGAGGGTGCTTGAGCACCCCCTCGAAGAATCGGCAGGGGAGAGAAAGGGAAAAGTAAGAAAAAAGAACGAGGGAAGACTGGTCACGACTTTGAGGGGGAAAAGACGCCCCGATTCGCTGGCCATGCCATCCCTGGAAGAGTAGGTTTGGATCTTGTGATGCGGTGAGAATTAGACGGCACGAGAAATGAGCGCGCGCAGCTGCTGCCCGACAAGAAGCCGCCCCGCGACGGCAGATGGAAGCGGTTCGACGCGAGCTGTGGCCTTGCGCTGCATCAGGACTGGTCAAGTGTGGTATGGTTGGCCAAGCGCAGCAAAGCAGTCAGTGCGGGCAGGAAGCAGGTCGAGCCGGTCGGAGTTGCCAGTCTGTTTTTTTTCTCTTGTCGTCAGGGCGAAGCCCTGAAACTCGCTTGCACCGGCCGGCTTGCCGGCCCAGTATACTGTGTAGACACACGCAAACGGACTTCTCTGCCATTTGCTTCGGCCGACCGTTAGGCCGTTGTACAGCTGCTCGTGTCGGCCTTCAAGATGGGCTAGCTGATCTCATGTACGACAGACGCATGTTGTGCTCTTGCTGCACCCGACCTCGGATCATGCCAGAAATGGCAAGCCGATATAGTAGACTGGTAGCAGAGAAGCAGGGCGCACGATCAGCAAGACGACGGCTGGGGGCAGGCGGGAGGCCGCGGCGATTTGTCGGCAGTGCATTGCCCGCGGGTGGCGGCAGCAAGAGGAGAAAAGAAGTAGACGGGATGGGCGTGTCGGTTCTTGACCGATGCCGAGCAGGTCCTTATCCATCCCACGCGGCATTCATTTCAGGCTGCAGAAGGCTTGCAGGTTTTATTTCTCCGGATGCAGGGCAGGATGCGAGGCAGGTGGGAGGTACATGTAAGTAGGGTGGTACCCCGAGGTAGGTAGGTAGGCCGGTGTAGGCGTAGGTGGGATATTCTCAACGCCAAAGAAATGAGATTACGCGTGGGTTGGTGATGGCGTCCTGGGGGGTGTAATGCAGTAGCATCAGCTTGGAAATCAATGACGGGCTACCCCAGCCGAGGCACCTTGGCTTCCTACGCGCCCGTCGGCCAGCCAGGCTTTGATGCCGCGAACCCGCCAATGCCTGGACGCGTCTTCACACGGCTGCTACGTGCAACCATCCCCGCCAAAGAGGGTGCTTCCACCTCTCCCATCTCGGTACCAAAGATGACCGTATCCGATCGTGCCTGTGCGCGCGGCTCTGTTGGCGTGTGGACTGTTTGTTTTCTCCATGCTTGGCCCTCGGCTGGCCGACACATCTCGCCAGCAGCTGTTTGCACTCTCGCCTGTTCTTAATGTCTCTTGTCTCGCTTCTCTTTGTTCTCTCCTCTCGCTCCTCTTGTTTCCTGGCCGGCGGAATGTCCGCACGAGGCACCCAGGCGACCTATCAGTGGGGGAGAGCGGCCTGTGGTGTGGCTACCTACGAAAGAACCGACCGTTTGGCTGGGTGAGGAAAGCCGCCTGCACGTCCCCGGCAGAATTTCCCGCTGCTCGAGGCAGAGATTGGCCATGTCGTGGAACCCTGCCGGGGCCTATCAGGGGGGCGTCGGGTCCAAGCCGAGGGGAGGTCGCCCCTGCCGCAACCCGACCCACATTTTCAGGAACAAAAAAAAAAGGAGGAAAAAAAAAAGTGATGCTTGGTCTGGACGGCCAGGGGGCCAGGGGGGCACCTTGCAAGCCTGCAAACTCACCCGAGCGTCACCAGTTCCTTTGCCCCTCCACCATCGAGTCCGCCCACACGCCTTCTCGGCCTTGGCTTCGCAATTTCCTGCGCCTCCACCAAGAGCGTCCAGTCGATTTGTTGGAGTCGTTTGCGCACAGGAGACGTGGCCGTGGAAGCAGACGAGCAGAAGTGCTGCGTGCGCGGGGGCAGCCCTCCCGAGACTGGCCGTCGGCCGATGTTGGGCTGCGTGCGCCCTGCAAGCACAAGGACGAAGAGTCTCGCAGAACAGATTGACGACCGCGACCCCCACCCATGCCGAGTGGCACCTAAGAGCTGGGGGGGCCTTGGGCCGACTGGGGTGGGATGGGATGGGATGGGATGGGATGGAAACCTTCACGCTGGACCACCAGAGTGCCAGGGAAGGCCGTGGCCCTGTGGGCCATGCTGCCTCCTGCTCGGCACGGGAAGGCTCCCTTCGATCCTAGCTAGCCCAGGAACCAGCCCTTGGCTGGGGGTGGTCGTGGGTGGGCTGCCTGGGGAGGGTGTCCTGACGTGCTCCGGAGTCGGGGTATACATGTATCTCGTTCGCGCCCTCCTCCAGCTCTGCCCTCCCTCCCTCTGCTTCGTTGGCCCTGCTGCATCTTTACGTGAGCTAGTCACCCAGTCAGGACGAGGTTCACGGCCGTTTTTGCCGACCTCACCCGTCACTCCTTTTTTTCTTAGGTTCCTCTGGTTCCATTACAGTCCTTTTCGTCGACACCCCCCGAGACCACGCTGGCTTGCATCTTTTTGGTCGCCTACGTGTTCCCACCCACGCTCCTTTCCATTACGGACATAGACACAAAAAACAGGCCTACCGCCACCCACCTTCCTTCTAGCCACTCTTTGGCTGACTTTGACTCGACCCGAGCCGTCCTCTCCTTAAACGAGCCGCCTTGCTCGTCCATTCGCGGCTAATATCTTTCTAATACAACCCTAATGCCCCGTCATCCGATCGTATAACTCGCGCTACTTTGTTCCCGCACACGCCTCGAGGACACCAGCCGGCGGCCAGTCCACATACAAGGATCCTTCAGCTCCTGGATTCCATGCTTCAACGATAGCCTTTCGGCGCACGTGCTCCTGGTATATTTGATACCGGTGCTGTCTTTGGACAAAAACCCCAGCTTTATCGACCAGAGACGGGATTGGAGCTTACTTGGAGCCTCCGGCTCGGCTGTTGAGGCACCATGAGGTTCACCAGCCAGCCAGTGTTGCTGGCTTGCATCTACCTGTTCGCAAACCTCGCTTCGGCGTCCGTCGTTGGTCATGCGAGGAGACAAGTGATCACCACATCCAACTCTGTGGCCAGGACAAGCCCCGTGCGAACGGATGCACCCGTACCGACCGCCAATACCACCATTGCTCTGCCGAGCACCACCACAACTCTCGCCCCTTCGGCAAGCAGTACAGGTGTCACGTTTAACGACACCATGTTTAACCGTAAGTACTTTGAGGAACACCCTGATCCGTAGCCGATGCTGTGGCCAGAAGCAGAGGCAGACTAATCTGACTTCACCCCTTACCTTCAGTGACGATTCCCGAAGGACAGCTCCCGCTGGAGCCGAGCCTAACACCTGGCTGGGGTGTGGCGGGAATCATAATGCTCCTAACCGGAGCCGTCTACGCCTTCATCGGCATCAAGATGCAGTCGCTGCACACTTTCTTTTCCACGGCCTACCTGTCCGCACTGAGCACGACTGTCCTCATCGTCTACGTCATGACCCCGCCCGTCCCGGACGGGATCCAGGGCGCCTACGTAGTGGCGGTAGTCCTGACCGGGGCCATCCTCGGCGGCATCGCCATCATCTTCAAGGAGATCACCGAGTGCCTGGGTTGTCTCCTGGGCGGCTTCTGCCTAAGCATGTGGCTGCTCACACTACGTGAGGGCGGCCTGGTGATCGATCTGGGAGGCAAGATCGGCTTCATCGCCGCTTTCTGCACCGTTACCTTTGGCCTTTACTTTAGCAAGTGGACGAGAACTTATACCCTTATTGGGTGCACCTCCTTCTCGGGCGCCACCGCGGTCGTGCTTGGAATCGATGCCTTTAGCCGCGCGGGGCTCAAGGAGTTCTGGGCCTACATTTGGAACCTGAACGATCGCCTGTTCCCCCTGGGCGCCGTCACATACCCGCTCACCAAGGGAATGCGCGTCGAGCTGGCTGCTACCATCGTCATCTTCATTGCTGGCGTGGTGTCTCAGCTCAAGCTGTGGATCCTGATCAAGCAGCACCGCGAGAAGCGCGAAACCGAGAAGCTCGAGGCTCGGCGGGAGATGGACGAGGAGGAGGCCGCTGTGGGGAGGAAAATCGAGCGTGCCAATGCTAGGGAGAGGAGGAACTGGGAGGCCATCTACGGCGATGGCACCCAGAAGGACGACAACGAAGAATGCGCACATGAAAGGTCCTACGTATCCATGGATTCTGGCGTTGCTGTGGGCTCGGTTCCCAGTGTTGATGGATCAGGCTCTCCCAAGACGCAGCCGGGCCAGGTCGTTGAGGAGCACATCGAGATGGTCACCCTCCAGCCCCCACCCGCCGCGGTGCTGCCAGCTGAGCCGCAAGCACCCAAGACAGCGGCCGAGGCGGTGCTGGCCCACGACAAAGAATGCGGCGTGTTTACCGTTCAAGTTGGTGTCGATGAGGAGGAGGAGGAGATTGTTGCCGCTATTCCGGATGCGCAGGTAGACGAGTCTGATGTTCACCCCGCCCTCCGCAAGCTGCGCAGGGTCGCCAACAGCCTCACGCCCACCGAAGGACCCGTCGTCGTACCGCTGCCCTTCAAGATCCCGACCGTTGAGGAGCCCGAGAACAAGGACGGCAATGACGACAGGTCATCCGTGGCAACCATGGACGCCGGCGATGAGGAGACGCGCTCTGTCGCCTTTCCTAGCAAGCGCGGCTCGCTGGCTAAGCGGCTTTCGCAGGGCTCAATGGACATCCTCAGGAGCTTCTCTCAGCGGTCCAAGCGGTCGGCTGCCGGCATTTCCCGCATGCCGAGCGTCAGCAGGGAGGAGCTTGTCATGTCGCGTGCCACTGTGCGTAGCTCGGTTGCTGCCACGATGGACGGCATGAGCGAGATTGAGGATGATGAGGACGAGGAGCCCCGCGACAGCGCTTCGGCCACCATCGAAGTTGTCACCGAGCTCGCCGACAAGCCCAGGAAGCGCGACTCCCTGTCGGCTGCCGACGCCCTCGATGGCCACAAGAAGCACATCTCAGTGGCCGAGACCGTGTCAACCGACATCCTGAACATTCCGTCCGAGGACGAGGTCGAGGAGGAGAGCGGCGACGCTGCCGCTGCCGCTGCCGCTGCCGCTGCCGCTGCCGCTGCCACCGCTGCCACCGCTGCCACCGCTGCCACCGCGGAGAAGGCGAGCCTTACCAGCGAGCGTCTGCCCAAGGCCATGTCCAAGATCGCCATGTCCTACCGCACCAACGAGTGGGCCAAGCACCTCAGCATGGCCGAGGTCCCGCAGCCCGACGAGCTGCATATTGCTGAGGCCACAAAGCCCGAGACTGCGACGGTCGGTTCCGTGGCCAAGGAAGCTGCCGTCCCCGTCAAGGTTGAGGAGCTGCAGCGGACCGCCGAGAATGGTGCTCCCGAGCCCGCGCCCGCCAGGCCGGCCTCGACCGTCGTCCGCCACTCCGTGTCCCAGGACATCCCGGTCTGGCACAGTGGCACGGCCGCCAACAGGGCTCCGTCCCACAGCATCTCGGCGGCCATCTACCCGATCACCCCGGATCATGTTGCCCCTGCATCCACTCGCACTTCCATCTCTGGTTCTCAGCCTGGCCTCGCGCGGACCGTCTCCATCTCGTCGTCGATGAGCCGCTACGCTCCGGTCCCCGGTGTGGTCTCATACTCGAGCCCGCAGACACTGATTGGCCAGCGCGACACGCTGCTGCGCCAGAAGTCCAACCCTGGCTTCCCCGGCGTCATGCCTGAGCCTAGCTCCGTCTACATGCACGACAGCGCAGTGCACTCGCCTTACGTGGTGGTGCCCCCGGCGCCGGTCGAGACGGCCGACGACCTTCCCCTCAGCCAGCGCCGCCAGCTCATCATGCGCCACAACAGCCAGCTCAGCATGGGCTCGCACGCCGACCATGTGTCGCTCTACGGCCAGGCCCCGAGCCGGGCGCCCAGCGTGACGGGCAGCTACTACGGCAGCGTCGGCATGCCCCAGCAGCCCACGACAATCATGGGCGCCGTGACGACCACGACGACGGTCCCGTTCAACTCGCACCAGCCCCAGCGCGACCGCAGCTCGCACATCCAGTCGGCCGAGGCCCGCGCCGCGCAGATGGCGTCGTTCCGCAGCTCGGTCGCCGCCGACCTGCGCGCGTCGGCCGCCGCCACCGCCAAGAGCGCCGCCCAGGGCAGCATGATGGACCTGCAGCGCAACGCCATGCTCAGCCAGAAGGAGGCCGAGGGCCAGCGCCGCGAGGCCGAGCGGCTCGAGAGGGAGCGCTCCGGCCGCGCCTTTGACGAGATGATGCGCCGCAGCGACATGCTCGACGTCCATCGCGACGCCATGCGGAGGATGCAGGCGGGTGCTCGCAACTCCTGATTACCCCTCCCCCCTCCTTCTCTCACTTATCCAAGTCAACCTTGACCTGGTCATATCTTGATTTTCTTTTCCCATCTCTCTGTCTTTCTTTGAATCTCCACAAAAATACCCCCTTTTCAGCCTTGGTTGTTTTTTTTTTGGTCGTAGCGCGCCTTCTTCTTTGTCTCCTTTGACTGGTTCCCGCCGGATGACGAACCCATTCATTTTGTGGGGGATTTGTGCTTTAGGGAAACGACCAAAGTGGTGTTGATTTCCGGGTGGTTTGGCGCATATTGTAAAACAAAACGGACGGGACACTTACGTGTACTTTATACCCTGGGTTGCTGGGCTCGGGCGTGAGCGATGCTGGGTAGGGTTCAAAGGGCGGGACATGATATGGGATACATTTTCTGTAGATTCATAGCGAAATACACGCAGCTTGCGTGTTGCCGCATCTCTACGCTTGCAAAGTGCACACATTTATGCCGGTTGATGGTGAAAGGGAACAGTGGCAACAACACGAAACAGCCATGGGCATATTTGTATCGTGGCATATATATACTAGCTCTCATATGTACTGTGGACGCCCATCACAGCTTCGGGGTAGCAGCAGCGGCAGCCTTGGGCGGGCCGACGACCTTGATGACGGCGCGGCCGTTGCTGAGCACAACCTTGCCGCCGACGACCCTCGTCTCGAAGATGACCTCCTCGAACCCGTCGGCGTCGGGCTTCCCCGACCTCCACACCGACGTCTCGAGCTCGACGCCCGGCTTGACGGGGCTGGCGAAGCGGGCCTGGTACTCTTTGATGTTGCGCGGGTCGCTGCCGCCCAGGTTCCGCAGCAGCAGGTGGCAGGTCGAGTTCCACTGCCACAGGCCGTGGACGATGACGCCGCCGAAGCCCATCTTGGCCCCGGGCTCGGGCGTGGCGTGCAGCGGGTTGTAGTCGCCGTTGAGGCGGTACAGCAGCGGCGTCTCGAGGGAGGTGGCGTCCCTCAGCACGGCGTCCGGCTTCTTGTCTTTCGGGGGAGGGTAGTTGACGGTGGCGGGGCCCTTGGGCCCGCCCCAGTTGCCCTGGCCGACGTAGAAGCCGGAGCCGGTGGCGCGCGTGTAGACGTCCCCCGTGGCGGCGTCGACCAGGTCCGTGCGCGTCTCGACGACGGTGCCGGGCCGGCCCTTGTCGTAGACGCCGAGGACGGTGGTGCGCGCCTCGAACTTGCGGCCCGCCGAGGTGGCCGGGAGCGGGCGGAGGAACTCGATGCGGCGCTGGCCGTCCACCACGCGCGTCGGGTCAAAGGCCGGCACGCCCGGGATGGCGACCGACTTTTCGGCCTTGTAGAAGTCGATCACCTCTTGCGTGTTGGTCTTGAAGGCTGTGTGGTTTGGTGTTGGTGGTGGTGTCAGCTTGTGGCTGCCCCCCCCTAAACCTCCACTCTGACAGTGGCAAAAAGAAGACTTACGCAAGACGACTGGGTACGTCGGAAAGACTGCGAAGTCGGGGTGAAGCTCCTGAGGCGACACACAAGCGGGCTACGGTTAGGTCCTCCGGCTCCCGGCAATACCGTAGCGATTCACACACAAGACGTACATAGAGAAAGTGAAGCTCGTCGGCCTTGCAGCCGATCGAGTTGGCAAACAGGAGCACGTCGCGCTTCAGCCACGACACCTCAGTGCGAGGGAACTCGAAGCCGACGCCGGGACCGGACATGGTGAGGGAACGTTGTTGTGCAGGGGAGGAAGTGAATCAATTGAGGGTGTCGTCGACGGGCGCGAGGAAGGATATCGATGCGAGGCGCGATAGGGCAGAGAATATGAAGACGAGAGATGGTGTTAAAGGTCGCGCCGGCGCCCGCTCGCTGGTTGATCTGATAGATATCCCGCGTCGCATCTGCCGAGGTCTGACGGCAGCATACCCTAGTGGCGGGGATGGGGAAAACTGTGGGGGAGCAGCAAGGCGAGGAGGCTGGGCTGCATGGGCCGAGGCTCTAATCCCTGCAAAGGCTCGGGTTACAATCTGCCGTTTTTGCTTTCCAGGGCTGCAAACATCACGGCACTTGGGCTGGGAGCTGAGTAAAAGTAAAGATATATAGAAGCTGCCCATCACAGTGGACTAGATCAGACTGTACTCGAACCCGAATTCCACCTAGAGTATAACGAGCGTGGTTGGCTGAGCCGTTTTCACGGCCACCACGACGTTCCCATAACCTGTTGCTGAATATCCCAAACAAGCACAATCTGCGCAGAAATGACTCGCTCACTAACAAAGGAAATAGGCTTCGGCCTCCTCTCAGGGCCGGCCGGCCGCGCGGTCGCACTCCTGGATGAAGCGGTAGATGCCCTCGACACCCTCAAGGTCCTCGGCGTGTTGCTGCCGCTGAGTTGGAGAGAGCCCGGGACCGGAGGGAGAGACGTTGGTGAAGTACCCTTCCTCCTCGCCCGAATGCTCCGAAGAGAGCCAGGGATGCTCCTCCAGAAAAGTGTCCACAAAGGCATCATCGAGGTCCGACGAGGACCCTGATTGATGCGAACGCAGAGACCCGCCCGGCGAGGACAGCTTCACCGAGTTGTGTTTCTCGGGCGCGAAGGGGAAGCGCAGCGCCATCGACACGTCCGGCTCCTCGTCAAAGTCGGCATCCTCGCCGACGACGCCCCGCTGCACGCCGAGGTCGTCGCACAGTCTGGTCACCGTGTCAGCATCCACGCCCGGGAAGCGCACCCGGATCGTCCGGTTGCTCTCCAGCAGGATGGGCAGGTCTCCCAGCCCGGCGAGCCGCTTGAGGTCGGCCAAGACGGCGGCCAGGTCCTTGAGCGAGCGCTCAAAGTCCTCCGACAGCAGGTCGAGAAGCCCGTCCTCGTTGAGGGTGGGGCCAGCCGGCGCCGCGGCGGCGTAGCTGTCCTCACAGCCGACGCCGCACATGGCGAAGGGGAAGGCGGCCGCCAGCGGGCTGAGGGCCGTGATGGTGGGGCTGACGCTGAAGTCGATGAACGAGCCCGGCACGCGCCTTGCGGCGAGCGTTGCCGCGGCCGCCACCTTGCGGGCGGCGTCGTCGTGCGTCGCCGACACGGCGCGGTAGCGCTTCTCGCCGTTGGGGCCGCAGCCGTCGAAGCGGGCGCGCTGACCCGACAACCAAAAGGCGCGCATGGCCTGCCCGACGTTCTGCACCACGTGGGCCTGCGACGCGGGCGCGTGGCTGAAGTGGCGCGCGCCGCCGAGCCTGCCGCCGGCCCCGGGGGACGCGTACCCGCCGGCGGTGCGGGGCAGGGCGCCGCCCGTCAAATTGGGCCGCAGAGAGGTGGCGAAGGGCGCGCGGCCCGTGAGCCCGAAGACGGCGCGGGCGGTCTGGCTGGCCGAGGGCCTCACCGCCGCGGCCGAACGGGGGCCGCTCAGGAAGCGGCGGAGGGCGGACCGAACGGCCTCTTGGGGCCCGCGGAGGGTCGAGTGCCAGCGCACGCGCTGCTTCTGCTGGCGGACGAAGGCGAAGGGGTGCAGTGGCTGCCTGGCGGCGACGGGCTGTAGCTGTGTGTTGGCGGAGCGTGCTGCGCTTCCCAGCTTGCTGCGCAGCACTTTGCCTATATTTGCGGTGCTGCCGACGGCCTGCCGGAGGACACGCATGGCCACTGGGGCCAACATGCCTCCTAAGGAAGCCATCGTGAAGTGTTTGGTCCGCGACTGTGCGTTGAGCTGCTGTTCAAAGATAAGACAAGAAACAGAGAAGCCAGGCGTGGGCTATCTATAACGCCGCCCGGACATGTCGGGGGCGTCTACCCCACCCACCCCACAATTTGCCACCATGCCTCGTCAGCCTGTAGTGACTGAGGCCTCACTGGCACACTTGGGTCGCGAGTGGCGCCCAGCTGAGTTGACCGCGTCCAATCACAGTCCCTGATGGGTCTCGAGGCTCCTCCAGTGCTGATTGGCTGAAGCTTTGAGCAAACCCACCAGAAATGGGGAGTGGGGTTGGCGAATAAAATGCTGTGCTGGGAGCTTGAATTTTTTCTTCCCTCAATTCAACTCCCACGCACCTCGAGCTTCGCGCTTTTCGAACAGCCAGCACTATCGTGTTTGCCAGGCGCCCCGAAAAGGTAATTGCCTTCTCCTTCTTTCTTTCGAGCTTCGCCCCTTTGCGATGATGACCAAACAATCACGAACAATCCAAATCTTACCAGCATTATGGGGACTACAATTACTCTAGAATTACCCTGAGCAAAGCACACACAACCTTGTCTTCTTCTGTAGCCCGTTGGGCTAGGGCGAGCTTCTTACTGACATGCCGAGCCTCTAGGTAATCCGCTAAATGTCCATGAAGCGTCTCGCTTCGCTGGCCTCGAGACTTGTCCGCCGCCACCGATTCAGCTTTGTCATATCCAAAAGGTAAGCGCAAGCTCCAGGTCTCGCTGGCCGACTCCAGTGATCTACCCCCAGCCCCCCGAGGTGATGATAAAAAAAACAGGGATTCCTCATGCCGAAGATCATATGTGGACACCATTTTTCTAGTTTCAGCCTTGTCTGATCTCTCACTTGTTCTCTCTGCCTTTTGCCCGTCAGATGCTGGTCACTGCAAATATGCTAACATCATCTGCCTCGGCCAGGTACATATCTCCTCCCCTAACGCAGCAGCGCGCGAGGCTGTCGGGCCCAGTGCCTGGCATCCCACCTCCCACATGACGAACTTTGAACGAACGGGCGGACATAATCGAGCCCCGCCTGGGCCTCTTCCATCAAAGCAGGGACGTACAAACCCTGTGGGAGAGGTTCAGGTGGGTGCTATTGATGAGAACTCGTCACCTGACCGTGGAACCCATGGTGGCCTTGCTGTTGCCTGTACGGAGCCTCTCTAAGTGTCGACCTTGTTGCTGACTCTTTGCTCCGCAGGTAATACTTTACGACTTGCAATACTTTTATGAGCCTGTTAAGATGATGATCCGTTATTCACACTGTTTGATCCTCCCTTCGGGTTGGAGATGAACATTTTACACAAAATCTGATTTAATGAGGTATGTTGACTGTCCCGACTCTCCCGTTCTGCTCAGGGAGCATGGAGCTAACATGAATGCCACTGCAGCCTGACAATTCTTTTCGCATCAACGAAATGCCAACCTATCTGGAAGCCAACGGTAGCCATGATGCTAACATGTATCTGGTATCTCAGGTAGTTATCGTATCGCCCGCCGCTCTGTGCAAGTCTTTTAGTTGTAAGTGGTCAAAACGGAGTCTCTGCCCCCAACACCTTTCGGATGATTCACCTTGCTGTTCTCACTGAATCTCAATTCTGTGGATAACATCAATCAATTCACCTTGGAGAGCTGATTTGAAGGCTTTCACACTTGTTCGCATACATTGTCTTCTGTGTGACTCGTCGGGCTAACTCGGATCACCTCCAATAGGATTCGTATCCCACGCCCCTTGGTATCTACCTCGATCTGCGGGAAAACACTCCACCTTGATAGATGATTCAATGAAGAATTCTTGTTTCCTGAACCGTGTCCGAAAACATGACAAATACCCGCTCTTTTTTGTATCCGACGCCATCTAGTACCATGTATAGTTTCTTGGTTCCAAGTCCGATTCGAGGTGAGCCCATGTCTCCTCCGTCTCGCTCCCCGGGCGAGGGGGTGTGGCCGGTGTGGCCGTGTTCGCGCCTGCTGCGGAAGCTGCTTCCTATTTCAGCTGCAGTCGAGCGTTCCAGCCCACAATGGCGCGGATCAGGTCCCAGTCGCCGTCCTTTCCGACCCAGTCGGTGATGACGATGCCGGTTGCCGAGTCCCCAACGGCCAGCTGGTTGGGGCCCTTGCCGTGGTCGCCGTGCCTCATGCACAGGTACTCGATGATGGCCGGGTTCACCTTGGCGGCGATCTTCTCGGGCCAGCAGCTGGCACTGAAAAAGTTGCTGGCGGTCAGGAAGTTGACGAAGAGGGGATTGGGGCCGGGAAGCTGCTCGGGGGCGTCGGGCATGCCGTGGTAGTGGCCGAGCTGCTCCGAGGCGCGCTCCAGCTGGGCGCGGGCGAGCTCCGTCTTCTTGTCGATGTTTGTGCTCTGGTCCATCTCGTAAAAGTCCTGAACACGGATCAGGCCGCTGCCGACGGTGCCGTCGTCGCAGTTGTCGGGCCAGTGCTCGCCGTCCATGGCGAAGCCGCGGCCGTCGTTGTGGCCCTTGAGCGAGTCGTCGATCCAGAAGCGGCGCAGCAGCACGATGCGGCCGCGGACCTCGCCCAGGGTGGGGATGCGGCTGTCGGTGAACCAGCGGCGCGCGTCGTCGCGGCCGCAGTAGCGGTCCGACAGGTGGCGCGACATGTCGCCGTCAGTGCCCTTGCCGGTGCCCTCGCGCTTGAGGCTCATGATGAGGGCCTCGCGCGGGTTCTCGTCCAGGAAGGCGTAGCACTCGGCCAGCAGATCGTGCAGGTACTTTGACCCCGTGAGCGACACGGGGAAGGCGGCGTGCACGAGGGTGAGGTCGTCCGAGTCGGGCGAGCAGCTGACGCGGACGTCGAGGTAGCGGACGCCGTTGTCGAGCTGCTCGCGGACGCCGACGGCCTGGCAGCGCACGCTGGGCAGGGCCTTGTAGCACGTCGGGCTGTTGTGGGTGCCGGGGATGGAGAGCATCGAGAGCGGGAACTCGTCGCGCAGCTCGCGCATCCAGTGGGCCAGCCCGCCGCTGCTGAGCACCGTCAGGTGGCCGTGCTCCAGCGAGTAGATGACGGTGAACTCGGCCGGGCCCCCGGACTCGTCGTCACCGCCGGCCTCGCGCCGCATCACCAGGCTGCGGTGCGATGGGCCCGGGCAGTCGACGGACCAGCGGTTCTCGGTGCCCGGCTGGCGGAAGAAGAGCCGGGCGACCTCGCGCCCGCCCGGGTCGGCGGCGCGCACGCCCGTGGCCCTCGCCTCGAAGGGCGCCACGGGCAAGTGGCGGGCGCCCTCGTAGAACTCCTGGGCCCGCACCCAGCCCTTGCCCGGCTTGAGGCTGACGCCGCAGACGCCTGGCGGCGTGTGCGAGGATGCGTTGAAGATGCTCGTGATCTTGCTCGCGACCCGCTTGATGCCCTCCCCCGGCACCGGCTCGCCGTGGAAGCGCTCGATGCGCCTCAGCTCGAGCGGGGTCGTGGTCAGGTTGCGTATCGTTAGGGCCACCATCTTTTCCCCCTTCCCGTTTTCTCCGCCCTTCTTCCTTTTGTTCTGGTGTGCGTTCGGCCTTGGGGAGGGGAGTGGCCTAGACCTCCGGTTTAGATTCCGGCTAGCCTTGGGGGTTTGGATCCGTTGTGACGCCGACTCCCCAAGTGCCGATAAGCGCACAAGGGAGGATGACGCTCCACGTCCCCCCCTTAGGTAGTAGATAAGTTTCCTGATGGCAATTTCCGGGCTCCTTCCGAATTTGCTTGTAACAGGACGTTGGTACCGAGTAGTAGGTAGGGAGGGCTGGAGCGATGGACTGGGAGCGATGGCCTTGGCGGGGGGAGCTGATAGTGGTGGTTTGTGATTGTCGGCAGGCACAGCCCACTACCCGAGACAGATTGTTGATTTCTCAATTGACGATTAGGTAGGTGACGCGAGCTGTCGCGATTCGTCGTCGCGCCCTGCCAAGTTTTTTTCTTCTTTTTTCTCCTAGCACAGCTACGGCTGGAAACAAGGGGACTGCCCTGAGAAAGGGCTGACGCAAGATCCCTGCCATCCCGCCTCGGAAGGCAATACGACCTTTGTGAGGGCAGGCATCTACCAGGAAGGCACAACCGGGAAGCCCGATGCAGGTTCTGTGGCCAAGGCAAGAATGATGTGTTGCTGCGAGGGGGTGGGGGTGGGGCAGGATACCGAGAAGCTTAACTCGATGCATTCGAGTTCTTGATTTCAGCATCGGATCTCGATCCCGGCTGAGGGCGGCGATGATATTGCCGAGCCAATGATGGCAATGGCGACGGTGACAGCGGGTGGCTTGCACGCCGTCTTGGGCGGCTTCCAACCATTTGATTTGTGTGCTGATTCAAACCGAGCTTTGGGCGAGAACAGATGGTTCGATTTTCGACTTCCGTCGTCCGGCTCAAGGTTCCGTCGTCGAGTCAGAAGAGTCACAAGACGAGCTGGATGAGAGTTAGTGTTTTTAGGGCTACGACGAATGCTGCTGTTGCTGCTGCATCTTCCCGTTTTCCTTCCCCAGACTGCTGCAATTTCAACGTGCATTCGTCCCAACATTTCTCCTGTGTTTGTTCCTTGTTGCTGCAACTTCGAGCGAAGTCGAACAAAGGCGCACATCGTGATGGCTCACTCGAGTTCGGTTGAGCGACACAGCCGCACCAGCATCGCGCGGGCGATCAGATGGACGATACCCGGTCCCCCATCCATCCTCCCCACGTTTCCATGCTTATGCTTCCCTGGGCCCACCCGCTAGCCCGTGGCGGTCTGGTCTCGGAATGGCGCCAAGGCTCCGCTGTCTTCGTATTAGTCCCCCCTTCCTGCCGACCCTGTGTTTATTGCGGGCGTCGCTGGATGGGCAGGCGGGCAGGCAGACAGCTGGTCAGTCAGGGAGGGAGTGAGGGGCGTGGGCCTGATGGGAGGAGAACGGCGTCGGGTCCGCGCCAAATGCCCTCGGGTTCGTGCGCTGCGCCAGCGAGCAGGAGGGCGCCGGCCTGGCCGCCTCTGCTGCACGCCCGCACGCTCACAAACACACATAACTAGTACTTACACGCCCTAGCGGTCTTCGGTTCGCTTTTCCTTTTGCCTCCTGCTCGATCCGTGCGGGGAGGGACTCCTGTAATCCCAGCTCGGCGCGCACCACTGCTGCACCTCGGATGCAGGTCCAGGGAACGTGCACCCCCTCGCCGACTGGGAAACAACGTGCTTTTTCTCTGTCCTTTTTTTTCTTGGCTTGCCCTGCTTTAGGCTCTCGGGTAAGTCTGTGCAGTGCGGCGTGCTCGTCCTCCTGCGATTGGCTGGCTAGGTCAGCGTGGCTGCCACCCCATTATCCTCTCCATGCCCGAGGTGCAGAATTGGGAATACATCATGTCCGCGTCGGGGTGAACAGCACCACGAGGCGGCGGTCGACTGGCCCAATCCGGGTGGTTTACGAACTGCAGGGCCACGCTGTGCGACAGCCTCGTCGGCCTGAGCCTGAACCTGTCAGATCGGCTACGCGGGTGTCTGCTCATGTCCGGTGCTACCCACCGGTGGTTGCCAAAGGGATATCAATCATGGCAATATTGAGGGCGCCATGGTATGCACGCTTATACTTCCCAGGATGCGCTGGGCTGCCCGGACACGGCAGGAGAGCCATTCCAGGATCTCGGGTGTTCCATCTACGTAGTAGGTCGGTATGAATCCCTGGTCTCACGAAGACGGGGTGTCATGATTTCTGTTTGTGCTTCTCCTGCTGCTGCTGCTGCTGCTGTTGCTGCTGCTGCCAAACCAAACATCCCTCGAATTGCCTGCCCCAGCCGCCCGCTGTGTCCATGGCTGTCAAGCCCCAGACGCGGACCGTGAGCTTGCCACGGGCCCTCCTCCCATCCAAGAACACACCCGGCACACGTCCTGGGACTGATCGTCGGACCCATGGCTTCCACTGGCGGCAGCTCGAGGCGTGCGCCAGCCAAGTGCGCCAGAGGCGACAGCCTCCAAACCAACGCTATCCTAGACGGAAATATGCGGCAGACGACGCCAAATCGCAGTGTCGCCCTATTTTCTTGTTATTCCTGTTGCGTTTCCTTTGGGTCGAACCCGGGCCTGGCGCCGGTTCAAAGCGCGGTGAAGCCGTCGGCTCCCAAAGCCAAGGAGAAAAAAAAAAGAGAAGGGCAGAAAAAAAAAGTCTGTTGCTGCAGCTATCCGTCCGCTGGGTCGTGTTTTGCTTGCCTGTCGTTGGCCATCTGGGTTTATACAAAACCCGCTGGCGTGATCTGCCCCCGCCCGTTCGACCTTGCCTTCACGCTCTACTTCCCTCGCCCTACACTGTCCTCGGTGCCGCCGTCTTCTTCTTCTTCTTCTTCTTCGTGTTCTTTTACTTCATTTCCACTTCTGCTTTTGCTTTCCCTTTCTCTTCTCGTCCCCCACTCGTGGCTTGATATTGGTCGTACAACGAGGGGGTGCAGAACCCTGCATTGCGTTCCCATCCCACGCTTCCGGCCACCACCCAACCCACGCCCCGTTCTCGTTTTCATCCGTACACAAGGCTGCTCACAGACGCTTATCGTGTCACCGGCCTGCCTACTTCGTCCAAAGCCCCGACTGCCAACGAGCTGCTGCTGCACCCTGGGCAAAGACCAGTGTGCCTTTCTTCAGCGCGCCCCCCAGAGCGGCACACTTCTTTTTTTAGTGTTGCCTTTTACCCAGAGGCAGCTTCCCGCCTGTACCACCGGGATTCGGAGCCCTGGGGCACACCTTGTAACGTGATATCGGCAATACCTTCGTGTAAGTCACGCCTACCTGTCACACCCCTCCGGGCGTGTGTTTGTTCGAGAACAACGCACAATCAGCCTCAGCCATACATCACATCGCACCCGGCACGGGCAGCGGGCTCAAATATATCTCAGATATGCCTGATCCCTCGTGTCTCGTCTGTCTTTACCACTCCCATATACTGACTAGAACACAAAGGGAATGGTAGCATAGGCGAAGAACATTCTCCTTTGGTGGTTCCTCAGCATCCACCACATAGTCTCGAGCCGAATCGTCCCGAGTCCGGCAAGAGTCGTGGCATCCCCACACTGCTTAGTTGTGGCGGACAACCAAACTTGAAGACTTCGCTATTTGCTTTTAACCCGACGACGATATTGCCAAGATGCCGTCTTCGGGCAACACCTTCTTCATCAACTGGGAGCTATGGCAGCAAATGACCTTTGTAAGTTGCCACATCCATTTCCACTAGATTCTTTCTGCGGCCTGTATCCTAACAGTTTCTCGACCCGCAGGTGTTGGCAGCCGCCATTTGTGTCGTCTTCATCCTAGGCTTGTCCAAGCTTGCCTACCAAAACTCACTGATGAAGAAGCAGGAGTTGTTGGACGAGGAGAAGCGACACAGAGTCCAAGAAATGGAAAGCTCAGGGCTGTCCCACAAGAGGGCGATTAACATCCCCTTCGGCGTGCGGGCTATCCAAGGCGGCGTCGAGGTGGACGGCATTTGGATCTCTAGGCCAACGACCCCGAACACCAGGAAGTCCATGGCCCCGGGACTGGCCTCGACGACAACAATCGCCGTCACCGCCAGCCCGCTGCTGGCCAAGGCAAATGCACGTGGCGGCAAGCTTCCCTCGCCCACCGATCCACCCACCAAGATGGAGAACCCGACGCCGTACATGCCCACTGGATACAGCAGCGGTCAGCCCAAGTCTCCTGGCCACCACGACCCCATGAACCCGCTCGGGGGCCCTCCCAACCTGAACCGCAACCCATCGGGCCACCACCGCTCGAGCAGCCAAAACACCAAAGAGGACGCCCTCTCTAGGTTGGAGGGCAGCTCCGGCCGGCAGCCCCTGCGGACCTACGTGCCCAAGGCCACCCCCTCGACGGCGCCTCAGCTCCAGCAGCGCCTCGGGGCCCACAAGCCGCAGCCGCGCCTGCCGCCCCAGCAGCCGCAGGCCCGCCAGCAGGCGCCGCCTCCGCCGCCGCCCAGGAACAGCAAACAGCAGAAGAAGCCCTCCCCGCTCCGGGACTCGGCCTCGTCCAGCGACTCTTACGCCAGTGGCGCAGGCGGCCCGAGCAGCGAGCACCACCTCCAGTTCGAGGGCGCGCAGAGGGCCAGGGTCATCAGCCTGTCGCACTTCCCGTCCCAAAGCAGCAGCAGGGTCGCGGCCGGGTCGAGCACGCGGCCGCCGTCCTCGACGTCCGGGCCGGGCTCGCCGGGACGCGAGTGGGGCGCGTCGTCGTCGTCGTCGATGGGGCCGTACGAGCACTCGACCCCGAACCTGCCGCAGAGCTCGTTCCCGGCCCCGACCCAGAGCGAGACCCGGCTGCCGCTGCTGGCCCAGGACCCACACATCCAGGTGCCCGAGCCGACCTTCGGGCCCGGCGACCTGCGCCACAACAGCGGCCGGCCGCGCAGGGCAAACCAGAGCTTCGAGGGCGGGAGCTCGTCCGAGTTCATCGCCACCCCTCTGTTCCTTGACCGCTCGGTCGAGGATGACAGCCAGCGAGGATCTTCGGCACGGCAGCAGCAGCAGCAGCAGAGGCCGTACGGCCAGCAATGACATCATAAAGTTGGTGGCCCTTTTATACTGTCGACAGCCCAGACAGCCAACAACTTTCAAGCATAAAAGAGAAAGCAGGTGATTGAAAAATGATAAGAAGGTCGGCTTATTGGCGAAGGATCATAATATACCCCCGAAAGACATGGGGTCTGAGGCTTAATAAACCACGAGGATACAGCGCGTTTGAAACAGATATTGCTTTTCTTTTTGTTCGGCCTGTTTTCATGTACAGCTAAGGGATTTCTATCATTCCCACATCAGCCCAATCTTTTTCGCACAGGTAGACGGTGGGTGGCGTACTTGGCCGGTTTGGGATGGCGAACTGTTCAAAAGATGATTCGCTTCTTGGAATGTCTTAGTAGTCCAATCAATTCACGAATACAGACCACAGAGCACATTAAATCTATGGCAGCAAACAACCGACAGGAACAAACGAACTTGCTGACAGCAACTGACCTGCTTGTGGTGGCCCGATCACTGCCGGGCCAAGCGGAGGCAGGATACTGCAATCCGGAGACCAAAGTGCCTTGCTGGACATGGGAACTATGGCGCTGGTCAACGAGGTACACGGCGATTTCGTGCCCAGTTGCTCCGAACTCGGTTGGGTCGGCGATCCAAAGGGCTCGCGGTTGATGGCATATGAGATGGGCAAGCTGCCCGGAGAGGTGTATATCATCGCCCGCTCCTCGCTCACTGCCCGCGAGGCAAGGCTGAACACTGTTCAAAGCTTGGCAAGGTAGATATATTGTGCAACGAGTCGCACGTCTGTTTTGCGGTTTCGCTAGATACAGCACTGAATACCACCCATCGGGCTCGCCAGGTTTTTTTTTCGCCCAGTCGTGGCGAGACGCAGCTGCCATATCGAAAGGAGGCTGGGCCGATATGTCGAAAGTCAGGACTGGATGCAGCGACAGGCTCGAATACCTCGCCGGCACCCTCCCCGAGCACTTCCTCCCCTCAGTCGCCGATGCGCAAGCCGCCCTTCCGGCGCTGCTCGACGGTCGCTATCCCACCGTGCTCACACACAGCGACCTAAACGAGGTGAAGATCCTCGTCAGCCCCAGCAGCGGCGAGATCACGGGCGTCGTCGACTGGCCGGGCACCATCGACCTCCCGTTCGGCTTCTCGCTCTACGCTCTGGAGAACGCGCTCGGCAGCATGAACGATGACGGATGGACGTGGGGTGACGACGCCGACGAGAGGGGGCAGGTCTTCTGGGACCGCTTGGTGGAGGAGACGGGCTTGTTTGTCAGCGGCCCAGGCCCGGAATGCTGGTCAGATATGGCACCCCATACAACTGCTTCGCGGGAATGATTGGGACGAGGGACGCGAGCGGCGAAGGTGAATTCCGATATTTGGATGCCTTGGTTGAAATAGCACAATTGTATGAACTCTAATCAAACGAACCACGCCCACCATAAAAAAATACGGCAGTCTTACAACCCGTGCAAATATCAAGTAGAATTGCTAGTACCAGAAGCTTTCTTATTTTTATTTTTCTTCCGGTTGTTATTCCTGTTTGATTTTGCTTTTAGTTCGTTTTTATTCTTATTTTCAAACCAATTCCTCTTCCGACCCCTATTTCTAAAAGGAACTGCCCTCCCTCTTGTGTGCGGACCCACTGAATCAGGCACCAGCCAGGCACCCAAGACTAAATGAGTCACCTGACCTGGCGTCCTAGCACCCTCGCCACTCTCTGTCTGGCGCGCTTTCCACGCGTCGGCATCAACTGGGTTCCGAACCCCTTTCGCCACCAACCGAGACGCAAAAGCGATTTATTCTCCCATCGCCTGCTCGCCCTGTCGTTATTTGTGAATCGCCCATTGAAAAACACTTCCCACAAGCCTACAAAACTGTCGCAAAAATGACTCTCGTGTCTGATGAATATGACGAGAGCGCCAATATGGACGAGAGCGGGATGCCCGGTCCTGGTGCGCCCACCCCGCTCACAGCTCTCGAGGTACGCCGTAACCGAAAATGGCTGCGCATCAAGCAAACCCAACTTGTCATATGCGACCCCTCGTCTGCATCCTGCTAATCCGTGATTGTACCTTTTCAGGGTGTGGGAGGACTCACAAAGCGCGATATCCAATTGATCATCGATGGCGGCTTCAACACCGTCGAGTCGGTGGCGTACACTCCAAGGCGAACGCTCGAACAGATCAAGGGGATTTCGGAGCAGAAGGCGGGCAAAATTCTGGCCGAGGGTATGTGCCATCCGTTGCACTTCTTTGGCCCTCAGCTTGATACTCTTCTCGGCTGCTAACAATATCGCCCCTGGCTCCGGCAGCCTCCAAGCTTGTTCCTATGGGCTTCACCACGGCCACTGAGATGCACCAGCGGCGCAGCGAACTCATCTCGATCACAACGGGCTCCAAGAACCTCGACACCCTCCTCGCTGGCGGCGTCGAGACCGGCTCTGTGACGGAGCTGTTTGGCGAGTTCCGCACGGGCAAGTCGCAGATTTGCCACACCCTGGCCGTCACATGCCAGCTGCCCTTTGACATGGGCGGCGGCGAGGGGAAGTGTCTGTACATCGACACCGAGGGCACGTTCCGCCCCGTGCGACTGCTCGCCGTGGCCAACAGGTTCGGCCTGTCGGGCGAGGAGGTGCTGGACAACGTGGCGTACGCGCGCGCCTACAACTCGGACCACCAGCTGCAGCTGCTCAACCAGGCCGCCGCCATGATGTGCGAGACCCGCTTCAGCCTGCTCATCGTCGACTCGGCCACCTCGCTCTACCGCACCGACTTCCTTGGCCGTGGCGAGCTGAGCAGCCGGCAGACGCACCTGGCAAAGTTCATGCGCACGCTGCAGCGCCTGGCCGACGAGTTCGGCATCGCCGTCGTCATCACGAACCAGGTCGTCGCCCAGGTCGACGGCGGGCCCTCGGCCATGTTCAACCCGGACCCCAAGAAGCCCATCGGCGGTAACATCATCGCCCACGCCAGTACCACCAGAATCAGCCTGAAGAAGGGACGTGGCGAGACGAGGATCGCAAAGATCTACGACAGCCCCTGCCTCCCCGAGAGTGACTGCCTGTTCGCCATTCAAGAGAATGGAATCGGTGACCCGGCACCCAAGGACCTCGACAAGGATAAGGATTGAGTCGAGTCTGGTTTGATGTGCATGCGCGCATGATGGAACGATGATATGCTTTTATTTTCCCTGGTTGCTTTTGGCAGCGCCCCTGAGCTGTTGCGTTCAAATGACAAGATGGAGTTGGTGAGGTGCCACTCCAGGGCTTTCTATTACACTTTTTTTGCATTTTTTTGGCCTGGTGTTTGGGAGGGGTATCTATAGGAGCATTTGGAAGTGCCCGTTTGCTTTTGTTTCTTCACTTGCAGTAATGTTCTGTCTAGGATTCTCCATCGCTCTGCTCGCCAGTATGCAGATAATTGGCTAGCTGCAAAATATCCATTATTGCCGAATGACAGACAGCCAGGCGATTCATCGTATAACTGCTAGCTTCCGTCGTGGTTTGTGCATGTAGAACAACATAGAATCCACCTGAAAATGTCATCTTGTTCAGTTTCTTCGTTGTCTGTGAGACGCTCAACCTCAGAAGGCATACGCATTCCTCATTGAGATAGATGGAAAGCTCTCGGCGCCCTCCAAGCTCAGGTGAGCTCTCCCGCCGCCCCACATGCAAGCTCCACTCAGCTGCGTCAAGACGGCGCAGGTCCAATTCGATCTGGAAATTCTTTGGACCTCAGGTGCTGAAATCGCGACTCGACGCGCCGAGCCCAAAGTGCTATCGCCAATTTTCTGTGCATCATTGACGGCCCCAAACGTTGCCTCCCTGCCCCGAGCACCTCCAAACGACTTGCGGCTCCATTTGATGGAGCTGCTCGCACCATGGATTCTCGCGAGCCGCTTTTTGTCTACAAGGAGACCCGCCTGAACCTCGAGCCGTCGCTGAGCACCACCGTCCACATCCACCTGAAGTCCTCCAACGGAGCTGGCCACTCGTCACGGAGCAATGGCCGGTCGTCGGAAGACGAGCGCGCGTACCGCGTCAAGGGGCTCGCTTCCGCATCGGCCGTCTTCTACCGCCAGCATCATAGCAGCCCCAGGGCTTTTCTGTGGAGGATACTGGACGGTGGGCGCATTCTGAGCTTGCAGGCAGCCGATATACACAGACAGGAAAAGGTCGTCGATGCGCCGCTCACCGTCCACGTCCACTTCCCCTCTCCCTTGAAGCCGAACTGCGTCGCCCTCGCCGACCCAAAAAACCTCGACGCCTTGAGCATCTTCGCCTTCGACGAGTCCAACAACCTACACTCGCTCCTCCTCAAGTCCGACGTCTTCCGAAAGCGGTCCGCCTCCGAAGCGGTGAACCCGGCCGATACGCCGAAGCCGTTCCTCCCCGCTGCGCTGGGATTCAAGCACGTGCATCGGCTCGTTGCGGTCAACACGGACAGGCTCCTGGCCACTCTGCACGACGGCGGTCTGCTCGTGTTCGACAGGACACACGGCCATGATGGTAGGTTTGGCATTGGGGCCCCTGCACTCTCGCCGACTCGCTCTAGCGGCACGTAACGAACTGACTAACCTTCTCTTCAGCTGTAACGCCATGGAAGGAGACGTTCTACAACTCCTCCGGCTGGACACAGGGTCTACGCAACCTGCTCCCGTTCCAGAGCGGGCCCACGGTCAGATATGGCAAGGTCAACATGGACCTCACAGCCGCGACGTCCGTGGCCGTGACTTCGATGGGCATGCAGAAAACGTCCTTCATGTTTACCGTCTGTCTCGACCATCGAATGAGGATCTGGAACGGTAGCGGCGCCATCCTTTTCACCGGCGACATTCTGAACTCGGAGCGCAACCCTCAAGAGGTGGGGAAATGGACCATAGACCCTTCTCAGTCGAATCTCGTTCGGGTGCTGGAGTGTGCGGAGGGTCATTGTTTGTGTGTGACCTATTCTCCCATCGGCACCGGCGCCTTCAAGGTCTGGAAGGTTGCTGCCTCGAGTCCCGACTCTATCATTGTCAAGGATATGTTTCCGGACCACAACCTCGCCCCGCCAGCTCCATCGTCGTCTGACATCTGGACCCTCGCCGACTTTGGCCTAACCCAAGATCCCCTGTGCGCGAATCGGCTATGGGTCCTGTGGAAGAACAACCTGACCTATCGGGTGCAGAAAGTCGACTTCAAGCTTGATACCATCGAGGCGGCTTGGGCAAACGAATGGGTCGACGTTTTTGCGGACCATACCGCGCCCCCGGCTCAGAGCGCGAATCCTTGCGACCCCACAGATGCGACGGAAAAGTGGCTGCAGATAATATTTGCCCCCGGCCGCTTCACGCGCAGCATGTTGGAGACGGCCCTCGCTATGTACGAGGGCGGAGTCGGTTCTGCAAAGACCAGCTCGGGCAGTGGCAAGAAGAGCTTGGTCGAGTCTATCTGCACAGTTCTTGGGTCGACGGCAACCCTTGAACGAGACTCGGCCGGAGAGATAGACTACGGGCAGTTCAGGGCCACGAGTGAAATCCACTGGCGGCGCTTCTACCGGCTGCTCGTCGAACTTGACAAGCAGCGTGGAGAGGCATTGTCTCTGGCGGTCGACCCTGTCTCGGGCCTCACGTGGGTCGTTTGCGCAGACTGCGTCTCTGTGGTGCGGGCGTGCAGCAAGCTGGAGCGAGTTTATCACAACCTATCCTCCCCCGAGAGCAATTACCAGGCGACGTCGTGCCTGTTGACAGCAGGGACATCATTCCTTGCTAGCTTCTCCGATAACATGCTCCAGATGTGCGCGGCAGCCCTGCGCGCCGAGCTGTCGGAGGACTCGTCCAAGACCGACTATGAGCGGATCCAACACTTTTCTGAAAAGTCGGGCTTCTGGCGGCTGGTCACGGATGAGGACTGCGCCCAGGTTCTAGAGTCTCTGGGTGACGGTTTCAAGCTCGTGAGCTTTGATCTCTACCGGTCCCTATTCTCACTCGTTGGCGAGACCGATAACGCCCAAGCCCGTGATGTCCGCGACCCCTTTACCGAATTCGGCAGGAAGCTGGTCGTCAAGGGAACGCGAGACACTGCGGAGCTACACTGGCGCATACTCTTCAGCCAAGTCATTCTTCTGGTCCACATGGAGAATGAACAGGACAACGAAGAGGACGCAATACACTCGAGGCTCGACATTGGCCAGGTTTACAGACAACTGATCCTGGCGCTGCGGAGGTTAGAGCTCGTGCGATGGCTGGCAAAGACCGAGTTGAGCGTGCCGCTACCAAAAGTGGACCGTTCCAACGGGTTACAACAGCTTGCAAACACCTCCCCTGCCCCGTCGCATAAGTCGGGAGACGAGACACACATCATCTCGACGTTGGAGGCCAGCATCAGCCACCTTCTCGGCCTCTCCGAGCCGAGCGGGGAACCGATGGCCGCTATTTTGACCGACGTAATGACCGACATCTGCGCTCCGGACAGCAACATGGAGCTCTCCACTGCGAGAACCCAGTGTCTTCTTCTCAAGCGTGATCGCCCGGACCTTGCGATAGAGCTGGGGGCTTTTGCCAAGCAGGACCCATTCTCCACCTATGTACAGGGGCGCGTGGCTCTTGCACTCAGGGACTACGATGTGGCCTTGGTGCACTTCAAGAAAGCAGCAATCGGCATGAGTACGCATGCACCCCAAAGGCCCTTCATCGATCAAACCCAGTACTCTGGTGCGTTTATGCTAACTCTGGTTTTCAGGTGTCCCAATGAAACATGCCGACCGGCATAGCATGGGTCTGCTCGACGACACGGAGTGGAATCTTCTCAACAACGGGCTTCCCAACTACTACGCTCACATAGTCTCGCTTTACGAGAGGCAAAAGGCATACTCGTATGTTGCCAGCTTCGCACGGCTGTCGCTCCAGTTCGCCAATGGCCAGGACCCGGCGTCGGCCTCGACTCGGGCAGAGATGCTCAGCAGGCTATTCGTCTCCGCGACGGCGATATCCCGATTCGACCTGGCGCACACGGCGCTTCTTTCCATGACGGACGCAGCTCTGCAGCATTCGTGTCTCAAGCGGTTGGTGGAGAAGATGTGCGAGACGCAACAGAACGCCGAACTCATGAACCTTCCATTTTGCCACCTGCACGACTCTGTGGATAGGATCCTGGAACAGAAGTGTCAGGCGGCGGCGGCGGCGGCGGCGGCGGTGGACTCGACCCAGGCCGGGCGCGGCGTCCCGTGGCACCAGGTCCTGTACGCGTGGCGGGTCCACCACAACGACTTCAAGGGGGCCGCGGCCGCGCTCCTCGACAGGACCAAGAAGCTCAAGAAGCTGGGCGAGGGGGACAAGCTGCTGGGCGACGACGTGCTAGACACGCCCGTCACGAGGCAGTACCTGATGCTCATCAACGCCCTCAGCTGTGTCGAGCCCAAGGATGCCTGGATCGTGTCGGAGGAGGAGGCCGGCACCCACGGCAAGGTCGCGACGAGCGGCGTGGACGTGTACGAGTCCATCGACCTCCTGGCCGGCGCCGGGACCGGCGAGGCGGCGGACCTCAGGGCACTGGCCGCCAACCTGATGCCCGCCGACGTGGACCGCGCCTGGAGGCGGGTCCTGAGCCTGGCGGACCTGAGGAGGGACTACCAGGGCGAGCTGGACCGGATAGCGGCGATCCAGAACAACCAGTTCGACTTTGCCGTCGGGGACGAGGCCATGGACGAGTCGTGATTTGCGCGGAGCGTGTAATGCGTTTTTAACAAACTATGTCTTTTTTTCTTTCTCATGGGTGGGGAGGGACGGCGGATACGTCGTGGATACATGTCTGCCTGTTGTTGAAAGTAATATCTACGATGTCCCGAGGCGTAAAATGGACTTTGGGATTTGATGGCTTTTTACGTGATGATATCTTGATGAATTTTTACATGAGTCTTCGTCGTTAAAATGTCCGCTACAAAAGAATCAACACAGCTGTGTTCGGGATGCAGGCCTTGCTCCCGTGCTGGGTCGCTTCACTGTTTCCTCGAGGCAGACTCGCCCCCCATATATATCATTGCGAGTCATTTCCTTCACAGCTGTCTGGCAATTATCGCTATACCTTTATTAAGCTAAACAACTGGAACTGGCTTTCACAATGAATTGACCACCGCTTCTGACCCATCGTTTGAATCTACATAAATCATCCACCACGGCACCGCTCTGGGCCGTTCGTCTCTTTAGGCTGAGGCAAGCCGCGGCAGACAGGGCCAGGCACAAGCCCGTTGCCCCAACACACGTAAAAGCAAACAAAGAAAAGGCTCACGCGGGAACAGACTGTATCCTGCTCTCCGGCGGCGCTAGCTGTTGGCTCCCGTTGAGAGCCTCCGGTGGTTGCCGGTAAAGAATGATCTCTGACTGCTTGAAATATCTCCTGGCGTCTATTTGCAGAGGGGTGAGGAGTCAGTAGGGCAATTAACGGCTGAGATTTGACCAGGAGCCAATGTGTTGGCTAGAAGTTACGTACCCTCGTCAATGAGAACTAGGCTCAGGTAGTATCTGGTGGAGAACTTCTTGTTGACGTCTCTGAAAGTGGGGGTCAGATCGAACCCTCCTAGGAAGAGTCGAATTGGAATTGTTTCGCCTCTTGAGGGGGAGCCATCCATGATCTGGTGGTAACAAGGTAAGAAAGTGTCAGTCAGCTGTGGGTTGCAACGCTCAACCGACCCAGGTCCGGAATCCATGTCTTGGCATACCTCGAAACGGACCAGCGTCTCGCTCTCGTTATACTGGTTGGGGGCGGCGCCGGTGGTCTCGCGCCTGATGATGGACAGCTCCATGTGCTTAATCTTGAGCCTGACAAGCAGGAAGTAGATTCGGCCGACAATGACGTCCTTCAGGTGGTATTTGGACTTTGAGTACTCGAACTCGATGTGCAGGCAGTCCTCGATGCCGACGTCCATCTTGATGCTGCTGTTGATCTCGGGCGGCATGACGTAGCTGTAGACCCAGATGTCCTTCTCGCGGATCACGTCGGCCATGCGGCGCGAGACGGTGACGCGCACATAGTAGCGCAGCTTGACGTTGATACCGCCGTACGACTCGTACTGCTTCTCGACGTTCTTGAAGTTGAAGTCGAACGTCTGCGGGTGCTGCAGCTCGCCCGGCGCGGCCAGCTCCTGGACGAGCGACAGGAACTCGTAGTGGTTCCCGCGGTCGAAGAACATCTCGATGGTGCCGATGAACTGCACCTTGATGCCCGTGTGCTCCAGCCGCTTGCCGTCCTTAGGCCGCACCGTCACGGCGCCCTTGACCGACTCGCCGTCCATGTAGAGCGGCGCCTTCTCGCGCCGGTTCTTGTCCAGCTTGATGTCCACCATGGACCGCTCGTCGCCGTCCTCGAGGACGATGTCGATATCGACTGGCGTCGAGAAGAAGTACGACATGGCGGGCGAGCGGGGGGAGCTGCAGCGGCAGCCGGCGGAGGCGGAAGGTGGTGAGTTGGGCGTGCGAGTTGCGTTAACGCCAGGAGGTGGGGAGGCGCCGAGGTTCGTGGTCGATACCTCTAGGTAGCCTTGCGCGGGCCTTTCGTTTGGTCGGCGCAAACGTGATAGGTGCTGTTCCTGAGCTCAGGGGTGGGATCAATTGATTGGGAACAACAACTTGGGCTCAGCGCAGGTTGTCAAATGAGTTGTGGTGGAACTCGTCGTCGCGCGCTGGTATCGCTGGGCCGATTGTGCAGTGCTTGGCTCCTGGGGGAGCTTCCAAGTCAATTTAATGACGAATGAGCACGAGAATGTCGGAGGCATCAGCGGCGGCGGCCTTGGTTGCAGCGGCTCCACCCAGCCCAAGCAGTTCTGCTCCGCGCTTCCGACGAGCAGGGAGCAGGGACCAAGTGACCGCCCACTTCTGCCCCACTTCGAGCGCAAGCCCCCTCCAGCCACACACAACAGTGGTTTCCTGCGGCTTGACAGCCTAGTTAGCCCACGCCTGCGGCACACACTTTTTTTTGGCCCTGTCAATGTCAAAACCCGTTATTTTCTGCCCCCGCCCAGCTTCCTCCCTTTCGATCTTTGGGACATCGTCAACTCAGTCGACCACCACAGAACGCCGTCAAGATGCGTTACATTCACAGTTCGGAGCAATTGGAGATTCCCGAGGGAGGTACGTTTAATTTGCGCTGTTCCTCGCCCGCGACGCCCGAAACCGACCGCCCCGACGAGAACGCGATCCACGAGCTCCGAAGCCGACGAGCCCAGCGCCGGACGCTTTTCGAGAGAGAATACTGGGAATCTGCTTGCTGACTCTTCCGCCCCCTTCCGTACAGTCAAGGTGCACATCAGGTCTAGGCTTGTCACCGTTGAGGGCCCCCGAGGTATTTGCCCTCCCACACCCACCACCCCACTACCACCGATGCCCAGGAGCCTGCGCCGGCGAAATGCATGAAGAAATGAGGAGGATGCGACGGGCTGCGAACACGGGCCAGGGCCGAATGGACAATTCGCATTGCGGGAACGGTTTCTGACGGGGGATTGTTTTTTGGAAACTCCACAGGAAAGCTCACCAAGAGCCTGAGCCACGTCGCCGTCAACTTCTCGCAGCCCAGCAAGAACCTCGTCAACATCGAGATCCACCACGGCAACCGCAAGAATGTCGCCACCCTCCGCACCGTCAGAACGCTGATCAACAACCTGATCATCGGCGTCACCAAGGGCTACAAGTACAAGATGCGCTACGTCTACGCGCATTTCCCCATCAACGTCAACCTAGACAAGAACTCGGAGACCGGCGTCTGGGAGGTTGAGATCCGGTACGTCAGCTGGCACTTCCGGTTTCGAGTCGGATCAGTGACTTTTCTTTGTGTGGAGGACATATGGGTGCCGTTTGGACCGGTTGCGACGCTTGGTCGCGTGAGGAGTCTGTTTTGCTGACTTACTGTCGGGGGATGGACGTGTAGCAACTTCATCGGCGAGAAGCTGGTGCGCAGGGTCGTCATGCGCCCTGGTGTCGATGTTGAGGTTTCCAAGGCCCAGAAGGACGAGCTGATCCTGTCGGGCAACTCGCTGGAGGACGTGTCGCAGAGCGCTGCCGATATCCAGCAGATCTGCAAAGTCCGGAACAAGGATATCCGAAAGGTAAGCTAGCTATTCCCGTGCACCGCCACTGCCCCCTGTTCAGGGTTTTTTCTCATTTGGCTCTTTGCTAACTATTGGCTTAGTTCCTTGATGGTATGTACGTGTCGGAGAAGGGCAACATCGAGGGTGAGGCTGCGTAAATGGGACAAGAGCTACCTGCTTTCTTTGTGATTTCCTCTTGGGTCTTCCGGTGCGGCAATGGGTTCATCAACGGAGTTGCATGTTATGCGGTGGAAAATCGCCTCATAGCACATGAGCAAAAAAGACATCTTTTCGACAGGAGCGCGGCGCCATTGCTGTGATGCGGCATCACCAGTCACCACGGAGAGGACGGGGGTGGTTCTTAGGTTACACCCCAAAAGGATTGAAGAGAACAAATGGGATCTGGTACGGCTGAGGACCGAAAACCGGTCCGACTACAAAGGCCTCACCTTAGGATTGTAACATGATTCTCGAGGCTCAGGATGTAGACGACTCAATTTTATTTCATTTTCAGTTATTCGTCTTTTTTATTATCTTGGACGTGCATTGCCAGTAATTGGGCACCCACATTGCTTTTCCTCCGCTCGTCTCATGTGTCGACATTTGCCTCGTGAATCAACTCATGACATGCTCTTGAAAACGTTGAGAGACCTGACGGGGGCCTCTCCTTACACTCCCTCGTCTAAGCGTCCCTGGCCGAGAAAAAAATGGTGGAAGGGAAAAAAATTAGAAAACGGAAAGGGGGAGTTGCTCAGATCAAACCCGGTGAAAATGAGCTCTTGGAACCAACTCCGGCGATAAACACGAAAATGCCTCCGAGGGTAAAATGACGATGGGGGTTGTGGTGTTGGTGGTGGTGGCGATATCGAAGGGGTGAGTCGAGAATGGAACGGGACTTGGTATGTACCGGGTCTGGTCGTTAAACCTTGCCGCGAAAGAGATTCGAAAAGGACGAGAAAAGGGGAAAGTTGCAGCTGTGAAATATACAGGTCGGGCGACGAGTTGTGCGGAGGGCGCCATCCGGCGATGGCAATGGCGATGGTTCGTCAACGATGCTATGATCGCCTCGTGCCGTGCGAAGGGTCTCGCGATGGAGCGCGAGAGTGCCTACGCGAGGGAGCCACAGAGGGTCTGCGCGACGGCCCTACCGAATGGCGTGACTGGGACACCCTGGTCGTCTCGGTCCGACGGGTTCTCCGACTGTCCCTCGTCCTGCCAGTCCTTGCACTACCTGTTATTGGGGAAAGTTTGGTCAGTAATCATGCAAAACTTAATCCTCACCACCTTGAACCGACCGATTGCTGGCTGAACTTACTGGGACTTCCACTGGTGTACGAGTCGGTGAAATAAGAGTTGCTGACTTCGCTCCTCGGCCTCTTCTGCTGCTGTTTCTTGGCCTTGTTCTCGCGCCTCAGGCCGAGGAGCAGAAGAATGGTGCCGGCAGCACCCGCAAGCCCGAGCCAGCCCGTACCGCTGCTCTTCTTCTCCTTGCGAGCGCCTGCGGCCGAGGGGCGGCCGCCGAACCAGCTCGAGTGAGTGTCGCGGCGCGAGTGCACCGAAGAGGGTCTGCGGCTCGAGCTGCGGTGGACGTAGCGCTCCTCCTCAACCGTCACCTTCTCGCGAGTTGAAGAGTCTTTTTTGCCGAAGCCGAGCAGGCCCATGACGCCGTGCCAGAGACCGCGCATGATGCAGCAGGCACAAAGCAGAATTAGGAGAATCAGGCCGACAATAGCGCCAATAACGATGCCAGCAATAGCGCCCGCCGAGAGCCCACCACCTGTGCCGGCCGCGCCATCCTGCTCCGCCGGGGTGCCTGTGGCGGGAATTTGAGTGCCAGTCCCCGTCGGGACGCCGCTGGTGACACGGTAGGGCGCGCTGTACTGGGTCGTGACGACCTGACCACCGCTAGTGTATGTCGTCCAGGCTCCGCCGCCGCCGCCGCCGCCGCCGCCACCACCACCCCAGCTCCCGTCCTTGGGAAGACAAACCATCTTGTCCCTGTCGCACCTCTGGTTGGCGGCGCAGCAGATGGAACCGCATGACTCCCAGCCGGAGCCGGGTGGAGGAATGCAGTTTCCTGGGCCCTTGGTGGTGGCGGCAGGGAAGAAGGTGCTGCCTGTGCTGGTGAAGGTCTGGGTCTGGGTCCAGGTGGTGGTGAAGATGGCGTAGCCGCCGCCACCGTTGGCAGTGCAGCCAGCAATGTTGTTGGAGGTGTAGCACTGCTCGCCGCCGCGACAACAGTACTGGTTGTCCATGCCACATGGCACGCAGTCGCGCGGCCTGACGAAACCATTGCCGGCCGCATCCTTCAGATTGTCCAATGGATACGGGTGGGCGGCAGCGGGTGCCGCCATCCATGTCGCAAGGACGGCGGCGGCAGCGACCGCGTCGGCGAGGCGTGAGTGTGATCGGCGCATCATTCTGGCCGGCGTGGCTTGTGCGAGGAGGGACGAGCTGTGGCGCGAGGAATGAACGACGCGATGCGCACTGGAATGCAGGCTGCCGAGCCGCACAACCGTCGGTGCGCTTCCCTCTCCTGCCTCAAGTCGCCAGACACTTGGCGGGCGAACCTCGACCGTATTTCGATGTTTTTGTGCTGGGCTGCACGCCTCGGGGTGCCTCGGGGTGGCTGAGATGAGCCTCGGGCGGTGAGCGGCAACCAGAAAAAAAAAATCGCCAAAACAATCGATTCGATCGGCGGGTCCAGGTAAATTGGAGCTGTGATCCTGGAGCTCTCTGCCTCCTTTGACACAGGCTTCCAACAGCGATGCGAAACTTGGACCCGAACCGTTGGCCAGGAAAGAAAAAAAAACGGCGGGAGAAAAAGAAGAAGTCGTGGCTTGTCTCACCCGCAGCGAAGTGGTGCGAGGGCTAGGTTGGCCTGCGGAGCGCGGAATGCAAGATGAAGTGTGATGGCCAGGGGAGATGAGAGCGGGGGATGGGCTAGGGTATGCAGCTGCCCAGAGTGGAAGGCGGTAATAGTGGCGCTCTAATATGGTGGATTGATGGGGGTTGAGCGGTGGAATTGTGGTTGGAATGCGACCAGGAAAATGGTGGAAAGCAGGGAGAAGAAGTGAGAAAAAACCAAGGACAAAACCAAGGACAGGACCAAGAAGGTGGTTCGACTGGCTAGCCAATTGTAAAGTGGTGGTTAATTGCTGTTTCGGTCAGTTTCGTTGCTTCCCAACCTCCCCGGATTGCTGCCGTCGAGCCCAGCCCCTTGGATTTTGTGTGTCCCTGACAGGATTGGCGATGCTGGGTCCTGCGCAGCTGGCTGGCAGCGCACTGCACAACACAGTCAATTTCCCAGCCCGATTTCCGCTGCCTAGAATCGGTTGTTACTGGGTAACGTGTCAGTCGGATGCACAGGGCGGGCAAGGGAGGAATCTCAGCTTTTTGTCCTCTTTTCTTCTGTGATGACGAGCCGTTTTCTCCTCTCTCTCTCCAGGTTGCTTAGATGCGCTGGCAGGTCCCCTTTGTGGCCGATATTGGTGACCGTGGAGACAGAAAGTCGAAGTGCGTCGCTACCCCTGGCCTCTGCCAGCTCAGCGCTTGGGCTGTTTACTTGCCCCGCAACGGTTTACTGGACAATTATCGCGCAGTTCGCTTATTTCTTATCGACCCAGTCAGTGCCTGGTGGGATCCATCCATTGGGCCCGCATGCGACGGGAAAATGACGGTGGCGGGAGCGAGCCTCGACAGACGTGCTCACTTGCTCGCCTGCTCACTTCTTGCGCCGAGACTGCTCTACTATGTTGCTCTTACAGTCTGACAACCCAGAAGTGGTGCGTTTGATGAACGGGAACGGCGGCATACAGAGTGCTTCGCCAACAGCACCAAATGCATGCTGTTATATCCCAATATGTCTCAGCGTGGCGACCCAATTAGCCTTCAGATACTACAGCTCCAGTGCGGCCATTGCAGAACTGCTTGCCGCTTGATTTCCGTGTCATTTGCCGCAAAATATGCGATGCAGCGAATTGGCGGCGGGAACTGCATTTTCGAGTCCGGCCGAAGGCGTATAAGCATGCCGATTTAAACTTGGAACCTTCTATCCTGGCAACTCTTGGTGACTTTCAAAGTACATGACCCACCATGTCGCTGAATGTCACAGCCATGGACGTCAACCCGGGCCCTAACTTTGGGAATTGGTAGTAAATAGTAAGTAATAGTGATATCCTGCATCCGGAGATTCCAAAGGTGAGCGTTATGTTAAGGAAGCATTTGTCGTGGTGGTGTAACATGAGTGAGAACCTAGTGTCTACCAATCGATTTGCCCCAATTCCACGCGGTCGGCTGGGCTGCCTCCGCCGAGCGGTCCAAGCTCCAAGCAAGCAATTCCGTCATCCGCCCACCTTGCACCGCGCAGACCCAGTCTCTGTCGCACCAAAACGCCGAGGCTGTCCCGGGCCAGACGCAGCGAGCACCCGCACACGGCAACGGCAGCAAAGCAAACCTACCCGACCCCGGGACCCCGAACCGAGCTATCCACACCACTTTCAACCACCGCCGTGCCCAAGATCCCGCGCCCGCACCCGCACCCGCCGCAATGTCTCTTGACCCTCCCCCCTTCCTCGCATCGCTCCAGAACAACATCCGCCAGCGGCCCATCCCCTGGGAAGGCGCCGTCCGGGCCAACGTCCTGACCGATGACCAGCTCAAGCGCATCCGCGCCGTCGACAAGGCCAAGCCCGACGCCCGCCGCCGGATGGTCGAGGCCGATCTGGACGGCTACTGCGCCCTGTTCGTCGGCGAGCCCGGCAAGTCCAGCCTGCTCGAGTCTTCAAACAGCCAGTCCAACTACAATATCGTCCGCAACATCCTGGTCCTGCTGAGCGACCTGCTCGACGCCGTGCCCCCACTGGCCAAGGCCCTGTTCCGGGACTCGGACCCCTACCGCCACTTCCTGCCGCTGCTGGCCCAGACCTCGGGGCCCGACGACCCCATCCCCATCCCCCTGCTGACGTCCACCGTCCTCGCCGCCCTGGCGGCCAGCACCCGGGACGAGTCGCCCGCCACGGTCCAGAAGGCCCTGCCCGTCATCCTGAGCTACCTGTCCACCCTGACCAAGAACTCGGACGCGGGCCTGCAGGACATTGGCGTCCAGCAGTACTCGCTCCTGTTGTACGGCTCCAAGTCGCGCCGCCAGTTCTGGTCCCAGAGGAGCGAGACGGTCGCCCCGCTGATCGACATCCTCTGCACCGCCGCCGGCTCGTCCAACGGCGACTCGTCGAGCCTCCGGGGCAGCTTGCGCGGCAGCAGCGTCATCGAGGGCTCCATCGGGGGCGGCGTGGGCATACAGCTGCTCTACCATGTCCTCTTAGTGCTGTGGCAGCTCTCTTTTGAGGCCGAGGAGGTCGGTTGCGACCTAGAAGAGTATGTGTTCTCGTGTTTACCGTCCCCGCCCCCGCTTCTCTCCTCGGCTCCATTCACACCCTCCCCTGTCAGTATTATGCCCCTCTAAAGAGCTGTCGACTGACCATGTTCCGTTTCCTTTTCCCCAGGGAGTACAACATCATCTCGCTCTACACCCAGCTCCTGAAGCTCTCGCCCAAGGAGAAGACGACGCGCCTCCTCGTGTCGACCTTGCACAACCTGCTGTCGGCGAACCGGGCGAGCCTGCTGCCGGTGGCGACCCTGGCGCGGCTCCCCGGGTTCCTGGCGACGCTGTCGTCGCGGCAGCTGACGGACCCGGACCTGCTCGAGGACCTGAAGCAGCTCCGGGAGATAGTGGAGGAGTACATGACGACCAAGACGACGTTCGACGAGTACGCGGCCGAGGTGCGGCTGGGCCACCTGCGCTGGTCGCCGCCGCACCGCAGCCAGGCCTTCTGGGCCGAGAACGCGCGCAGGATCCTCGAGGAGAACAACGGCGAGGTGGTGCGGCAGCTGGCCGACATCATGAAGAAGCCGTGGGACGGTGACAAGCAGGTGCTGGCCATCGCGTGCAACGACGTGGGCGCCCTCGTGCGCGAGGTGCCCGAGCGCCGCTCCCAGCTGGAGCGCCTCGGCCTCAAGACGCGCGTCATGGAGCTCATGGGCGAGGCTGACGAGAACGTCCGGTGGGAGAGCCTGAGGGCCCTGGGCGGCTGGCTCAAGTACAGTTTTGAGAACAGCAACGGCGTCGGCGGCAACAGCAAATAAGCGGGTTCGAGTGCTCGGCTTCTTTTCATGTTTTTTTTTGTCAGTCAGTTTAGGGCTGGCTCCTCGGCTCTGTGACCCAAATGTGAGGCATCACAGGTGATTGCATATGCCATTGTCTCTCTTGCTCGCTCGCTGGGTGTGATATTGGGGGTGTGTGGTGGGGATTTGTCATGGCTATCTCCTGAAGTCTTGGGTGCTGGTCTCATCATCGTCATGGTGTATGTTTTTGTCTCCATGTTTTGTTGGGTTATCTTGAGCACGGTCTCGCATGACTGTTTTTCGAAAGCAGCATTGATTTGTTACTGCATGTCTGTCACGCTCCTACGGATTTGAAAAGTGGTTGGGCACGGGCGTGAGCCTGATAGCAGCTTGGTGAAGAGGCTGCCAGCTGAAAAGTTCACTGTTGGTTTTGCCTGGCGAGAGACGGCCCCGACTTGTACTTTACCTTGGGGATTTCATTTAACGGCCTGTAAAACAGATGGCATATCCTCGACGTTCGCGCCGCCCATTCATGCAAGGTTCATATCTTTACATATCTGATCCTCCCGCCGGTTTTCCTTAACATCTGCCAAATGCATATAAAAGTTAGAAGCAAAGATAGGAAGCAGGAAAGATGACTTGGAGGATGCGTTTGGATAATGGGTTCTGCTCCCCGATTCTCGGCCTGGCTGCAAAATGCGCCCACACCTTCATCCGCCTGTTGCCCCGCAGTCGAGCACATGCAGATGAAGCGTGAAGGTCGATGGCAAAGCAAATCCAACAGCTCAGCTGAACTGAATGCCACAACGATGGGATATATAAACTTGCAGACCAATGGATGAGAAGCAAGAATCGGAGCAAGTCAATAACAAATGTGTCCATAGTGTTCAAATTCAACCCGTTCCTGCATGTGCACGTATTCTCTCCGTCGGGAGTGGCCGACCTGTGGCCCAATTGGGTCTTCCGTCGGCAACCAACGTCATTCGCCGACGGCAACCGCCCACGTCCGATAAGAACCGACCTGGGCACACCTACCACGGCGGGCATGTGTCGGACCCTGTTGGCCGAGTTGTAGCCATGTATAAGGCTTCATCCATGATAGCACTTTCTGCGGAAACGGAAAGGACACCGTCGTGAGCAAAGATGAGTGGCCTCAGATCAGTAACGAGCCTTAGTAGGCAATCCAATTCGGTGCTGCGCCAGGCGTCGTCGTACCGGGGCCTCTCCCGCCTATCGCCGGCCGCCTCCACATTCCCGGCACTGGCACAGCACAAGCCATGGCCAGCAGCGGCCCTCACTAGCGGAACCATGGCCGGCAGCTGGGTCGGACCTAGACGTTGCTTCGCCTCCGAGTCGGACGGCAAGGAGCTTGGCAAGACACCGCTTTACCACCTCCACGTCACGCACGGGGCCAAGATGGTGCCGTTCGGCGGCTTCCACATGCCGGTGCAGTACTCCAGCAAGTCGGTGAGCGCGTCGCACCACTTCACGCGCGAGCGGGCGTCGCTGTTCGACGTTAGCCACATGGTGCAGCGGCGCTTTAGCGGCAGGGGGGCCGCCGCCTTCCTCGAGCTCGTGACGCCGTCGGGCATCGCCGACCTCGCGGTCCACCACAGCACGCTCACGACGCTGCTGCACCGCGGCACGGGCGGCATCGTCGACGACTGCATCGTCACCCGCCTCGACGACCACCTCTTCTACGTCGTCACCAACGCCGCCTGCCGCGACAAAGACGACGCCTACTTTGCGAAGGAGCTAGCCGCCTGGGCCAAGTCCCACTCGGGCGCCGCCGCGACCGCGGTGGAGCATGAGATCCTAGCGTACCGCGGCCTGGTGGCGCTGCAGGGACCCCTGAGCGCCGAGATCCTGACGGGGATACTGGCCGAGCCGGCCGAGGTGGACGTGCCGTCGTTGCACTTTGGCACGTCGCGCTTCGGCCAGGTCCGGCTGCTGGGCATGGAGGTGTCGAGCCCCTTGCTCATCAGCCGCGGCGGCTACACGGGCGAGGACGGGTTCGAGATCTCGATCCCGGCAGACGAGACGACACCCGTGGTCGAGGCCCTCCTGGCCTGGGCGGGCCCGGACAGGCTCGCGCTGGCGGGGCTGGGCGCCCGCGACAGCCTGCGGCTCGAGGCCGGCATGTGCCTGTACGGCCACGACCTCGACGACTCGACCACGCCCGTCGAGGCCGGCCTGGCCTGGGTCATCCCCAAGGCGCGCCGCCGCGCCGACGCCGGGTTCCACGGCGCCGAGGTCGTGGTGCCGTCGCTCACGCTCAAGAGTAAAGGGGGCGCCGGCGTGGAGCGCCGGAGGGTGGGGCTGGTGGTTGAGGGCGCGCCGGCGCGCGAGGGGGCCGAGATCGTCGGCGGCGAGGACGGCGGGGAAAAGCTCGGGGTGGTGACGAGCGGGTGCCCCAGCCCGACGCTGGGCAAGAATATCGCCATGGGCTACATCAAGGACGGGTTCCACAAGGCCGGCACCGAGGTGGCCGTGCTCGTCAGGGGCAAGCCGCGCAAGGCCGTCGTCACCAAGATGCCCTTCGTGCCCACCAAGTACTGGAAGGGTTCGGCGCCGGCTTAGACGGTGCCAAATCTATGTGGGGGTATTGCAGCCGGGAGGTCGGTACGAGATGGACATCTTGAGACTTCTTAGATGGGAGCTACAGGTCACCCTTCATACACTGCAGTAATGAGACGATCATGGGAACCTCGACGACGCGACGCGGCATTTAGAGGAATCAAGTCAACTGATCACCTCCTCTCCAGCATGTGATAGAAGGCGTAGGTGCCCGGTCTTAAACATGCAATGCCTTCCCGCGTGCTCCTGCTGCCGCGGTCACGCCAAAGAAACCTGTAGTCCGGGCTGGCCGCGAAACGAGAACAGGGACCGCGGGGTTTGGTTTGTTGCCGTATTTTCCATGGGAAGCCATCATGCACAACTGCTTCCGACCTCCCTCAAACTTAACGGCATTGTTTTTTTTCATCTTGCAACTGTAATCTCCGTCAACCGTGCGAATCAAGCGGCCGGGACATGGTGTATTTTTCACCGACTTCTTGGAGACGTGCGTTGCTTGTGTTGTGTGGAAAATGGAAGCAGAAGACAGCGCTACTCGTGCGGGCTAAAAGCGCCTGCAATTTAACGGTCCTCCGGAGTAAAGTGCGGCGGGGCAATTCGACGTTTTCGGGGCAATTCGACGTTTTTTTGTAACATTTTTCCCCAGCCAAATTAGCTGGAAACCAATGTATCGCCGAAAAAGGTAATAATTAGCCGAACTTTTGTAGGCACGGTGCACAGCCAAAAAACCATTGTAATTTTAACCCCGCCAATTTAAGCTTTGCGCTTTTGGGTTTTCCAGCCAAATTTTACCGAAATGCCCAGGATCCGGTGCGAAAAAAAGCGCAAAAAGGCCCGGGCTAATAAAGCCCGGGTTTTAATAGCCCTAAAAGCTTTTAATTAAAGCGGTTTTAAAACCTTCGCCGCTTGCGCGCGGCAGTACGGGATAAACTTTCGCTTACTGCAAAAGCGCTGGTAAAAAAGCGCCGGCAAAGTAAGGAACGGCGGGCACAATAAAAAGTTAATAAAAACCAAAAATTTCGCGTTGCTTGCGTGGGCTAACTGGAAGCAATTAATTGGTAAATTAATTTAAACGGTTTTAGGTGCGGTTTGTTAGCAAATAAATTAACCTTTTTTAAAAAACGCCGTTACCGCAATTGCCGTTGCCCAAACCGTTAATTCGATTTTTCGCCGCCGGCTAACCCTTTTTTCGACGAACGCTAAAAAAAAATAGGCTTAAACCTAGCTTTCGGTTTATAAAAAATTGTTAAAACGGGTAAAAAAAAAACCGCAAGCTATCGAAAAGCGCGCGGTACAAAATAAACTAGTATTAAAAAAATGGTTCGATTTTTACGCGCAATGCGTAAAAAAATATTAAATTAAACCGGAAAATAAATAAAATTCCAACGAAATAAGCTTTCGGGTAAGCGTATTCCAAAAAAACTTTATTTGGTGCTATACGGATATCGAAGTTTGGTTTTAAAGCAATCCAAATTACCGAAATATCGTTACGATTGTTAAAACCTGCTCGGCCGCCGGCGCAACAATCCTTCCGTTTATTATTATAGCCGGAATTTATATTAACGAAAAATACGTGCGCAACTTTTTGGATTTAAAAATAACTTTTATTACAAATAAAAACGGCTAAACCAACAATTTAATTGCGCTCGATTAGCTTAATTACTTCGTTAAGCAAGCAACGCTTTCGTTGCCCGATAAATATCGTTTATTATTAATTAACAATTACGGATCCCATTTAACGTTACCGTTTTAAAAAAGTGCGAAAAAAAAAATCGTAATTTTCCTTTTTCTTTCGCATACAACCTACAAATTGCAACTTTTTAACGTTGGTATTTTTTTAACCTTTAAAACTGCGCATTAACGGAATTTCGCACGGCAAATTAAACAAAGCGCGGTTAATTACAACCGCGCAAAATTTTTCGACGGGCTTTACAATATGCGCCGGCGTGCTTTTAAAATTAGCATTATTAAATTAGCCTGGCTTAAATGCGGGCTTTAACCTTTCGATCCGGAAATTGTGCTTAATAATTTGGAAAATCCGCTTACTTTGGCCACGTTAAAAGCCGTAATTACCAAAAAAATCGGTTATATTTTTAACGCAACCAAACAATTCCGCCGGATAAAACAACGAAACCGGTTTTTTGCCTTTTTTTTTAACGAAATTAATAAAGCCAACGAAATTTTGCGTTTATTAAAAACGCCGTTGCTTATTTTGCTGGCCCGCGATTGGAAAAAAGCCACAATTCCAACGTTGGATTTATTAATAATCCGCCTGTACGAAAACTAGCTTTAAAAACGCTTGCAATCTTTTGCCGCAACGGGCAAGCCGATTTCGCTAACGGTAATTCACGTTGCTTCCAAAGTAAAAAAAATTAACGAAACGGCAATACTTGCAAACGCGCGCGCAATTAAAAAGCTTCGGCAACGGAAAAAAGCGGATATTAATCGAAAAAGGAAAAAATTTTTAATTAATTAATTACCAAAATAAGCCCAATTTTAACGAGCAACGTACAATTGCAAACAATTAATAACAAAAGCGCGCGCTTTGCCGGCCAACGTAAAAAGCGCCGGCGCTTTCATAGCAAAAATATTAAAATAAAATTAACAATTTTTAAGCGATGGTTAAAAAATTATAAACGAAAAAAAAGCGAACGATTAAAGCAATTGCGGGTACGTTTTGTTTTGCAAAAAGCACGGCGGAACGAAATTACCGCGTTGGTGCGCTTGCAAAAAATTTTCCTTTAAAACGAGGTCGACCTTATCCGAATATATTAGCAATAACGTTGGAATCGTAACGATCGGTTCCATGCTTTCCGCAAAAAAGCTTTGCTTTTTGCCTGCAAATAATTTAGCAAGCAAAAAAATAACGTTTTTTTTTTCCCGATTAGCAATTTACCGAAATACTTTTTTTTATACGCTTTAGCAAATAATTGCCAAAAACGAAAGCATAGTCCGGAAAGTTGTGCAAAATTACTAAAAAGTAAAGTACGGTTTTAATTTTGCTTTGGCCGTCTTTTTTCCAAGCAAATATATTACGGAAAAATACGAGGTTTCGTTACCGGAAATTACGGATAACGAAAAAAAAATAAATTTAAATTACAAGCCGGTTATTAATTTAACCGGTACGGATTTGCCCTAAATAGCTTTATTTTTTGCTTAATTTAATCCACGCCTTTTACTTTTAACTCCTTTGTGCACCGTGCAAAAAGTGGTGGGCGGCTCATTACCTTTTTCGGCGATACATTGGTTTCCAGCTAATTTGGGTGGGGAAAAGTGTTACAAAAAAAACGTCGAATTGCCCCGAAAACGTCGAATTGCCCCGCCGCACTTTACTCCGGAGGACCGTTAAATTGCAGGCGCTTTTAGCCCGCACGAGTATGGCAAATCTTTTCTTTTCTAGTGGACAGAGGGGCGGATGACTCAGCAGCAGCACCCTTTCTTTGTTTTTGAGACCAGGGGTCTGGATTGGTACCTCGGAAAATCTGGGCTCGGCACGCTGACGCAGCCATGCATGGTCATGCCTACAATACGATACGTCATTCTGCCTGGTGACAGCACAATCTAGAAAGGG